CAAATCATAATGCCCCGTGAATGTTCCAGTTCCGTTCAAAAAGTAGACCAAAGTACCCCAGAAGTTAATAATTTTAAATGTGTCTTTAAAATGCAAATACAAATTATCTATTTTTATTTTTCATTTGAAATTATTCTTTGTAATATTCGAAATTGTCTAACTGGTTCTGTTTTTCTAAATTTCAAACAAAACAATTAATGACTGATTTCTAAGAAAAATAGTAGTGTTAAAATCAAGTAAGAAATTTTATTTAAAAAAGCTATTTTAAAAGTACGTATTTTGAATTTTGTATTTAAATACTTTTTTAATTCAAAACTATTATGTATTTTTACTTCAAATTAAAATATTAACCAAGAATTTGCATTATGAATTTTTAAATACTTCTAGAAACTTTTTTTCCCATCTCTGCTAAAGGTATATCCATATTATCCACCGTTACTAAAACAAACGTCAAACCTAGTCTGTGGATATGGCAGATTTCAGCCACGAAACGACCGGTTCATACTTTTATAGCGATTTCTCTTTTTTTTTCCACCAGAATAACTATGTGCTTTTGTATTTAGCTCAAATATTAGTTTCACAACATATTGAACACAATATAGTGACACTGGAAGCAATTTAGTCACTAAATAAGTTAAAACTTGCAACATTACGGCGGTCATTCCTAGGGCAGAGTCAAATTCAATTACAAAATCTTCACTGAAAATTGCCAACAAGCCTCGAAAAGTAGATAAATAATTAAAGATAACTTACCGCTCCATTTTATTTTCCATGATATAACTTGTAATTCACAATTTTATAAGCAAAATGATCACAGCAATGTTCGATCTCAAAGCACAAAATCAGTAGAACTTCAATGATAAGATTCTTATTTTTTCTTCTTTAGACATTGCTAGTATTAACGTATATAATAGGGCCAAGTTCATAATAAACTCACTCACAGTCTTATTGCACTGGCAATGATAAAGAAACATGCGAGTTTTGCCGCGAAATACGACCGTGTACATAGAATTATTACCCAGTAGAAACGCAGTCTAGTACATAACACAAGCGTTAAAATGATGCAAGGTCATTATGTTAGTGGGCGCGAGTCGAATGTGCCTACTGCCTACGCTCGTCATACGAACACATACACGCCTTTCAGTGATACCAGTTTCTGCTGTTTGCAATCAAATTATGAAAATTACTATTTTATTGATTAATTTTAAATAATTGATATAATAAAGATTACGTATTACGTACGAAGACATATTTTATGAGAATATAAAATGGTATAAAATAAACACGATAATGATGGTACTAATATAACTTAATTATACATATTTTAATGGTACAAAAATACAATACAATAGTAATTTTATACGTGGTTAGGCCACGCTGCAGGTATATTATATTATTATTAGTATTAGTAGTATAGTTGTAGCACGAATGGGTCGGCTCGACCGGGGAAGGACCATGCTCTCACAGAATACCAGCGTAAAATAGCAGCTTAACGCTGCTGTGTTTCGTATGGTAAGTGTAGAGAACCGGAGACCCTTTTTACTGGACAAGAGGCATTCCATCTTAGTACTCACGGGTGACAACGCATCTGCATTTTGAGTCTTTATTGAGGATAGATGTAGATGTCTATGGGTCACAGCAACCACTTAACATCAGGTGGACTATGTGCTCGTTTGTCACCCTATCCTATAAAAAAAATACAGACGTAATAAAATTTAAGAATATTATTAAACACAATTAATTTGCTTGAATACAATAAGCACATCGTGTAATATTTAATTTTAACCGACTTCAAAAAAGGAGGAGGTTTTCAATTCGGTGTATTTTTTTAAATGTTTTATACCTCAGAATTCTACAATTTCTAAACCGATTTAGATTTTTTTTTGAAAGGATATACACACAGATTGATCCAATATACACGCTGAAATTTTAATTGTTTTTTTTTTCTGAAATCTAATTATTTGGTCTTAGTAGTACTTATTTTATTAAAATAAAAATTATTAGGATGCAAAAATGGCAGATTTACAATCGAGAAAAACAAAACTCGAATGCGATCTCAAACCAATAGCAATATCTCGCAAGTAGGTCGGGCGTGCAGGCTAGCTTATACCGTATTACTATAATAAAGTCTGAAAAAAATTCGCTGGATGTAACTTAGTGTTACGTCTATCGCACGCGCTACCGCGCGCTGCCTACACAGTGAAGGGCCACTAATAAATTTTCAGAACATGAACTCTCAAGCGTAGTGATACGACATAAACTAGTAAATCTAGAATTGTCTTAGAAATCAGTGTACATACATATTGATAACCTCTCCTTTTTGGGAGCATGTTAAAATAGACTATGTTGGAGTCTAAAATAACATCTGATTAATGTTTGGGTGTAAAGTGACATCTGGTTAGTAAAGGCGGTCTTATTAATAATATCTTGATGTTGTAAATAGAAAAGTTTTTATTCTATACCCTAAAACGTAGACTTAGTCAATAAACAAAGCAATTAAAATAAAATAGTTGCGTTAAAATGGCGTCGGCGAATCGCGATTAGCTGATAACTCCGGTTTAATTTTAAATAGGCATATATATATATATAATAAATACTTAGAGAATTAGGTATCTATATATAAACATTTGAGTTTTACACAGAGCGTTGCGATTAAACGTTTTAAAAACAAATAGAAAATAAATATTTTTAAAAGAAAATTGTGATTTTTTTCCCCACAACTAGCAACATTTGTATTATGATAGTTTAGGTAAGTATTTTTATAGTTTTACGTAGTTATGAATTAAATATATAAACTTGTATGTGAAATGCAGTACCATCACTTCTTTTATGTTTATCATCACTGTTGTGACAATATTTTACAACAAAAACGGTCATTTTTACAATTTTCCGCCAGCTCTTCTCCGTAAGACATGAGTTGCGCACTGACGCGTCGCTGAGTGAACTTACGCGGATTCGCGTTAGTTTAACTTGCTTCACTTTCCGTGCGCGTACTAGTATTCTATGCGTAATAATTCTATGGACCGTGTAGTAATGGCAGAATTCAGACAGTCCACAGATGCGACTTTTTTTTCTTGGCTGAATTCTGCCACCCCACAGACGAGAGGTTATATTCTCTTTGAGCATAACCTCCGTAGGAGTAATAGTGTTCTGTGAGCATAACCCCATAAATTGGTGACCCACGACGTTCCTTCAAGAAGGATTTTGGATAATTTCCTTTTCCAACACGACGAGATGCTATACACACACAACTTTAGATGCTATAGACTACTCACAAAGATCCTACACTGTATGACATCCGTACTGTAGCAGTCATATCCTGACGACGTAGAGAAGAGTATTGCGAATGGAGATATTTTAGTGAAAATGTGTAGGTAGTGAAAACAGTTTGTATTGTGTCACATGAGTAAAGAAACGGACCAGAGGGGAAGCTACATACAAACGGCTCGCTGCGAATACACGCATCCATAGCGCAGCGATGTGGGCGTGAGCTTTCACCGACAGGTTCACCGACGCTCCGTCGGGGTACAAACCGGTTTGCGCCGGCTCAATCAGAGTATCCATGAAAGGGCTGTTAGTCGTGCGCATTTAAATAAATAGACCAACAATATTTCGAAATTTTATACATCAATTAATTTATTAAGTATTTTGCAATTATTAAATAATTAGATTTAAGTCTTTTAATTAAAATAATTACGTTATTATAAATTTATATAGGTAAATAATATATATTGTTTAAAATTAATCGATATGAAACAGCTCTTGATTTCGAACAATTAATAGATATTATGTTGTTACATTGTGTAATATAAGTTATAATTAATACGCATGTGGTTTTATACACTATATAATATTTTAATTTTTTCCTTATTGTTTATAATTAATCGATACGACACAGCTCTTGATTTCGAACAATTAATAAATATGTTGTTACATTAATATAAGTTATAATTAATGCACATGTTGTCTTATGCTATACAATATTTTTATTTTTTACTTAAATTTTTCACATGCATCATGTGACAACCCTATCAGAATAGGTATACATTTTCAACGTTGTTAAGAAGCATAGACATAGTCAATACTCTATCTACGTTAAGAAGCTTCCCCTCTGGTCCTTACTCTTTACTCTGTGGTTGTGTTTTACGCATTTTAACCATGAAGTTATAGATAAAGATGGAGACCACACTCCGAATACCTACTTGAAGCTCAACCTATGTATTACTATCTCGCCACTGTGGGCAGACCCTCTCTTTCTAAGTAGGTAACCTTTATTTTATTTTTCCCAGGATATCGCTATAAGTAGTTGCATTACATTAAGTGGTTTATTTATAAATATTTACATCTCTTTTTACTACTAAGACCTAGATTATATATATATATATATATATATATATATATATATATATATATATGTACAATTTTTTTGGGAAATTGGTTTTATGAAGAAAGGTTTTCATTTCCGTGGGCAGAACCGGTATCTAAAATATGACCACGCATTTCCGTTACAACCCATATAATGCGGAGCCTATTTAGAAAATGTGGAAAATAAATATATCAGAACATATTTTATTACTACCATTTCGATAATGTATTTTCTGGATATTGTATACAATACCTAAATGGTACCAACGAAATATAAAATTAAAATTTATTATAACACCCCGGGTGATCAATTAATTGCCAAAATATACCTGATTTATTGTTCAGACAGACTAAATCTATTTCGGGACAATTATTTTAGAAAAATATCACGAGGACTAAAGGAGCGTAGCGGAGCTCCTGCCTTAGGCTTCTGACCTAACCCATCCGAGTCAGGCTGCTCTGAGCTGAAATGAGTATAATACTATATTCCACACATCCTGTTCATTTTACGAATTATCTACAATTCCTAGGAATTCTATATAATAACGGATTTCATAAATTTCTAGTAACACATGTACTATAATAGGAACGATAATATATAAAAAAAACCTTAAAAAAATAAATAAAAATACTTTCCATATTAAAATTATTTATTGAAATTTTACACATCATGTGGATAACTCTGTGGCTTTTTGAAGTCCTTACAGATATCAGCAAAGCACCCTTGAATAAATATTCTCAATTTCTGACTGACCCGTATACTTTTTAATAGTTGCCATTAAAGAAGACCTATCCTGATTTTTTTTAGTTTGGCGCGCCAATTTTTGCTTAAGAATCTTAGTTTTCGTCGCAAGTATTTCTTCCTTAGTACACTTTATTTTCACTTGCACGTCGTCGTATTCACTGCTGACCTAAAAAACAAGAAAACTTTATGAAATCAGTATTTTTAGCATCGTACATAGTATTGCTCCTCTCATTAGGGTCGTAGCGTGATGTTAGAAAGCCTTCCTGAGGAATTGGTTTTAAAAATGCAAAAAAATATTTTCAAATCTGACTGGTATGGTTCCAGAGATTAGAGAATTAAACAAAAAAAAAAGAAACAAATAACTCTTTTACGTCATAATGTCAGTACAAATTTACATCACTTAATAGGTAACACATAATACACCAGAGCGCGACTTCGTGAGCACGCATAAATGAAGCATCAATCAAGAAGCTTCATGCTTAGTGTCGTAGTGACGGTTACCACACTGCGACTGGCACTAAAGAGTTTAAATATGTATGTGTTTTAAGCTATATAATACATTATGTAATGTAATATTAAAGTCATAATAAATACAAATAAAAGGTATGTATTTAGTAATAAAGGTAAAGGAAACTTACAGGTAACTTGTTCAGATTGCATAAATTTTCAAGAATTTTTCGACATTGTTTTTACTAGTTTGGTCTTCAATATTACAGCCAGTACATTTCACTCCTGTTTCCTTAAGTGCAGAACTACTTTCATCAATGCCAGAACTAGTGCTTGGTACAGCCAGAGAAGCTATTTGCACAATAGACTCTTCATGTCATGCACTTGTTGTCTGCAAATGATAACATATTTTACAAAATGGTGCTTTATGTATATCATACATTTAAACTACTACATTTCTAAATACATAATATATTACGAAAAATAGATAATTAAATTAAAGGAAAGTCTCAGATACATCGTCAATATGGTCACACTACTTCAGTGCGATTTCTTTTAAACAAAAACAATAAAATTATTCAAAGTCAATTAAATTCTATGTAAAACTATTTGATTTTGACAAAGTTATAATTTACTAATATGTTTAAAACACTGATAAAACGTTTCAGCAAAAAATTTAGTGAAAATACAAAGAAATATGTATACAAGTATTCAATGCCAGAAGTCACTATTTAAACACTTACGTGTGAAATCTTATATCACTTCCTGGACACCAACTACTGCCGCAACCACGTACTACACTAGTTTGCCCCATTTCTTGAATTATAACAATAATTATCTTTAAATATCTCAAACGACCCTGTGAACTGCTAAGTAAACAACCGCCATATTTGTCTAATTTATGTTGACATATGTTTGTGGTTTAAGAAATTTATTCTCATTAAGAATACAAAATTCACTTATCATGAGAACATAAAAACTTATAAGTTATAACAATATCTGGGGAAACGCAGAGGTTGGGGGTACATTAAGAAAACAATTAAAACAGTCACAGTTTAAAACAGTCACAGCGTCCGACATAGATGCAATCACAGATATAAAGTTGAACTACGCTCACCAAGTTACAAGAAGTGGCTTGAGATACATATTTAGTAATATTTTATTCTAATAGTAATGAACAATAACATTATTTTTAACAATAATAATATTTTAATTTAATAGTAAGACCATCATTTTATATATTTTATAATATGATATTTTAGTAATTTTTTGAAGCTTACATTTGACTGCGATTCCTTATGTCTTTAGGAAGTTTATTATATAATTGTGCCCCTTCAAACATTAGGTTTCTCTTACCGTAACTAGTTCTTGGTGCACGTAGAATGAGATCATTTGCGTTTCTTAGTTGAATTTTTTGAATTTGCTTCTTTTTAGTGAAACTTAAATGAGTGTGAATATCTTTATTTATTATTTTACGAATCAAAATGCATGTATGATAAACGTACGATTGATTTATATTTAACAGTTTAGTATCATTATATATTTTATGAGTTGGTGTCAGATAGTTATAGCTAAATAGAACTTTTATAACCTTGTTTTGAGCTCTTTGTATTGGGTTTAAGTTATTCTTTGCGGCTGAGCTCCATATTTCTATAAGATAATCGATGTGAGGTTTCACTAGAGAATTGTAAATAACATAACGTATTTTACGCGGGAAACACCGAGCTACACTTCGAAGGGTACCCGTTATTGATGATAGTTTGGATTTAATGTTATCTATCTGAGGTTTCCATGTAAGTTTATCATCTAAAAATAAGCCAAGGTATTTTTCGCAATTGGATCGTTTGATAAGGTGGTTATTTATTTTTAGAGGATCAAAATCAAATATTTTCTTATTTTTTGCTTTGAATATGATATAATTAGTTTTAGAGATATTTATTGTTAGAAGATTGTATTGGAACCATTTATGTATTAAGTCAAGGTCATTTTGCGCGTCTGAGATAATAGTATTTAAGGAGTGGCCGAAATAGAATAGGTTTGTGTCATCGGCATATAACGTTATATCTCCTTTTAGGCCAATATCTTAGAAGTTGTTTATATAAATTAAGAATAGCAACGGCCCTAATATGGATCCTTGTGGCACGCCGTATGTCACAGTTTTTGGTGTACTTTGGAACTTATCTATTCTTACTACTTGCTTGCGATTTGTTAAGTAACATTTTATCATATTATGGGCTATACCTGTGATACCAATGTGTTTTAACTTTTTAAGGAGCAAATCATGACTAACGGTATCGAAAGCCTTTTTTAGATCTATAAATATACCTTATGCAATATATTTTTGATCAATATTAAGTTTTATTTTTGTATTTAGATCTATGGTTGCTGATAGGGTGTTTGATTTTCGCCTAAAGCCATATTGTTTATTATATAAGAAATTGTTTGATTCTAAAAATGTTTGAAGATGGTTGTATAAGATTTTCTCAAATACCTTTGAGATTACAGGAAGAACTGATATAGGTCGATAATTACCAGGATTGGATCTATTTCCAGATTTAAAGATTGGAGTGACTTTAGCTATTTTCAGACTACACGGGAAGATACCTGATTGCAGACATTCATTTATACATTTTGTAAGTTCCGGGGAAATTAAGTTTTTAAAACACTTGACAGATTTAGTATTAATTCCATCTATACCTGACGCTGTGTTAAGACTAATGTTGTTGATGATTCTGAGGACTTCCTCTGTAGTGGTAGGAATCAGTTGTGACAACATCTGGTCTTCCGACAGTACCGTGTGTTTATCAGTAGCAAAGATATTATTGTGATGGAAAAAGGAAGGGATTTCACTTGTCAAGGATTCTCCGATGGTTGAAAAGTACTGGTTAAAATGTTCACATATTTCTAGAGGATCTGTTAGCGTGGCAGTTTCTGTCTGGAATTCAGCTGGAGCCTTAGTTTCCTTTATTTTGTTGTACGAAAGTTTATTTATTAAGGCCCATGTTTTTGCTGGTTTGTTTTCACAATTCATAAATAATTTGTAATAGTACTGATTTTTTCTTCTTTGTATATTGTGTGCTAAATTTTTTCTTTCTTTTAAAAATTCCTCTTCTATCTGTTTGTTTAACGGATTTCTAATATGTTTTAGCCTTAACGTATTTCTTTTTTCTATTGCTTTAATAATATCGTTTTGTATCCAATCTTGTTTCGGCAGATAATTCTGTTTTCTTTTTGTAATTTTATTTTTTTGTATAGAGGATATAAGATTTTGTTGGAAGATATTATAATCCAAGTTTAAATTATTACCACTATTTACTTTTTCCAAAGTTTTGTATAAATTAATATAGTCAATTGCTTGATACACAGTTGATTTTATAGGTTCAGGCTTACAATTTATAACTTCAAAATATATTTGTTTATGATCAGACATATTGGATTCTATGACAGCTAAGTGAAAGAGATTTTGTTTCAGATTTGTGCAGATATGGTCTAGTAATGTATTGGTTTTACTTGTTTCACGAGTGCTGTAACGTGTATCTATTTTGTTCAAAAGATGGTAACCGCATTCTTTTACTGTTTCTTTATATTCAAAGACTGATCTATCAGAACTTAGGAGATCCACATTGAAATCCCCAAACACCAAGCCTCTTCTTTTCTGTTCTAACTGTGCTGAGAAATATTCCAAGAAATCTTTGTTGTTCGTGCGTTCTGGTTTGTAGACGGCACCTATGTCTAGAGAAAACTTGTTTATGTGAACCCAGAGAAAACGGTTTTCGCAATGGGAGCTTTCTTCTATTAAATTGTGCTTAAGTGAATTATGAGCAAATATTGATACGCCACCCCCTCTGCTATTATATCTAATATAAAAGTAATGAGTGTAGCCTGTTAGTTGGGATCTTTTTGCCTCCTGCTCTGATTTCAACCATGTTTCGGTCAGTATAATAATATGTATTTGATGAGGAAAAGACTGTAAAACACGCGCAAGTTCATCGAATTTACCAGGTCTACCAATACTACGGGCATTGGCATAAAAACATTTAAGTGAATTTTTGTTAGTTATTATATCAGTATATTTGCTAATAGCTTGGTACGATACTCTGTTGGTCGTTACATTTTCAAAGACGTTGTTTGAGAAAGTTGTTGATGGAAGTTTTTTGAAGTCTTTTTTATTATTTTGGGTACGCCTTTTATATATTTGATACAAAGATTTTGTTCGCCACTTGTTGCTGTACGCTGCTCGAGTGTTCGTTTTAAAGTAACTATGTACTCCTGTTGTTGGGGTGTTTGGTCGTAAAAGATCTTAAATTGGTTCTCTTTTAAGTTTTGATTACTCTTAAGTATTAATTTTGATGTTTCTTGGGATGCAAAACAAACTTTCAGGTGTCTATCCTTACCTGGTTGGTATTTTCCCAGCCGATAAATTTTTTGTGGCTCAGTGACGTCACCAAGCAGTGTAGTTTTGATGATATTTAGGACTGCTGTCTTATCTTCCTCGTATCTCTCATTTAGGTTGGTAGATTTTGATTCCGGCACACCAGCGATTATTATATTTTTGCTCCTCATAGTACGTTCGTTGAGTTCAGCTACTATCTCTTCTTGCACATTCAATATAGAGGTCGAGCTTGATGGAGTAGTACCTTGAATTAGAATATTAGATTGAATTGATTCTATTTTCTTTTCTGTAATATTACTAATTTTTTTGAGATTGTCCACTTCAAGTTTTAGTTTTGTTTGTTCTTTAGCTAAGGTGTCAGTAGTTAATTTAAAATCGTTTATTTGTTGTTTTATAGTCGAGACATTCTCGTTGATTTTCATGAAGTTTTCGACTTGCATATTAGTAACTGTTGTTAGATATGTCATCATTTCACTCATTTGGTTTTGCATTGCCGTCCTTTGTTTTCTCATTTCTGCGAATTCAGCCTTTAAATCATCGTTTTCATTTTCTAATTTTCATTTATTGCGGAAAGTTATTTGTGATAACTCAGTTGTATCATGACACATGGTTTTACTTGCTAGATCTGGGTAAGAACCACATCGTGCCGAAATAGTGTCACTTCCAGTAGGAGATCGGTGTACGTTCATGTTGATCTGTGGTGTACCCACGATAGTTGAGCCTAGCGTGATGCGATACGTAAGCGAGACAAAAAATAAGAGATTGTCTTTTTTACCCGAGGTGGTGCTACGTAGGAGTACAAAGTTGTAAATCACTCGCGCAGTATAATAAATAGGTGATACAGTTACGTTTACGTTAGAGTTGAAAATTAATAAACTATTGTGACTTGTATTTTTAAAATATCTAGCGACACGTCCACTTCTTGCGCCCTCCAGAAGATAATCGTATAGGGATAATGTTGCCACATTACCGAACCCTTAGGAAAAGGGATTGTAATTCACTGATTGGTTAACCCAATAATACATACGAGACCTTCAATTTTGGAATTTTTAATGTAACTAATCGTAGTTAAACTATTTATTTATTGGAACAATATTTTTCAGAGCTTAACTTCTGATTTGGTTATTGTGGAAACTATTTCTAAGAATTTACCAGGAGATTTAAATAAAAACATAGCAATACTGTATTCCACACTAAAAAGAGACGTCAGACCACAGAGAGTGAGATAAAGATACGTAGGTATTTGACTCAAGCTGTTGTTCCAAGTGTGGCCTCCATCTTTATCTATAACTTCATGATTTTAACCTCTCAGATCTTGACATTTTATCGGACATACTTAGTCAGAACTATGGTCAAGCCAAAGAGTATAGTAGGTCAGGCCAAAGACAATTTTTTTAAAAGACGGTAAATATAACTTAGAGTCATTACTATGTTCTTATCTAAAAATAAAAAATATCAACAATTCCGCCTCCGCCAAATCGAGCAAAAAAGCAGTACGGATGTACCATCCTTTTCTCGAAGCAATTCAGGTCATTTTCGACCCCCTATAACTTCGTTGTGGATAGAACTAGAAGCCTGAATTTTCAATAACCAGGCAGGCATTATATGAACACAGTTTATTTCAAATTTCATTCAGTGTGAACCAGTAATTTAAATTATAATTAGTCAAAGTTTCTTAATGATTTCTTATATTTACGCGAACACTACACATTTTTAAATAAAACTAATTTTACGGATTTTATCGCGTATATTAACTTATTTTTATATATTCCCGACGTTTCGGGTGCTTTCCAGCACCCGTGGTCACGGGGGACTGAGTTGTTTGACGTCCTGCTGTCATAGTTAGCCCGGCTACCTTCAGTTTTTTAATATTAATTTTTGGTTCGATTTACGCAGAATGAGCTTACAGTATCTTGAAGTCTAGCAGTGGTATACTTGGGTTTGGATTTGATTTTATTAATTATGGGATCCCAAGCAGATGGCAGCACCCATCCATCTTCCCTATTGAAATTAGGATGTTTTTTTAATTTCAATAGCCTCGCGAATCATCCTTGGGAGGAATCGGTGTTCTTTTGCGAGGATTTGTGGTCTATCAAATCTAATGTAATGGCGGGGACGATCTTGAACATGTTCACAAACTGCAGACTTCCCGATACGTCGGTGCTTCACGTCAGCTATATGTTCTTTAACGCGGGTTTTAATAGATCTTTTTGTTTGTCCTATGTACGAGAGACCACATTCACAATCCAGCTTGTACACTCCTGCATCTTGTAGAGGGATTTGACACTTGACGGATGGTAAAAATTGACTAATCTTCTTCAGCGGCTTGAAGTACGTTTTAATGGAAGCTCGCTTCAAGATGTAGCCAACCTTGTCTGTGACTCCTCTGACATAGGGTAGTACAGCAGGCACACGCTCGACTGTGGCTGGCTTCACTCGGTCACTGTGACGTAGGCGCGGGACCCGAAGCTTGTTGTCTTGCAGTACTTGCTCGACGTGCTGAAGCTCGGCGGCCAGATGTTTTCTGTCACAGATCCCTCGTGCTCTCTGAAACAAAGATTTTCCCACGGTAGCTAACTGTGAAGGATGATGGTGAGATTCACCATTTAAATATCGGTTGGTATGGGTATTTTTTCTGTACACAGTATGACCAATAGTGTTATCAGGATTTCGGATGACTAAAACATCTAGAAAAGCTAAAGTATTGTTTGCCTCTAACTCCATTGTGAATTGTATTTTAGGGTTTATGGAATTAAGGTGGTTTAAAATGCAGTTACTTTGTCAGATGGTAAAATTGTGAAAGTATCGTCTACGTACCGCTTGTAGAATCTTGGATTTACAGGAGCAGTAAGAAGGGCTTTCTCCTCAAAGTCCTCCATGAATATGTCGGCGACTACGGGAGATACAGGTGAGCCCATTGCCACTCCGTCTACTTGCATGTAGAACTCTTCTTTCCACAATAAATAGCCAGATGTGAGGCAGTGTTTGAGTAATACTGCATATTCTGTAGGCATGTTGTTATCTTCTAGCTTTCTAGTAACAATTGAAATGCAGTCTTCAATAGGTAGGCATGTGAATAGTGACTGAACATCAAAACTGACCATAGTTTCATTGTCAGCGAGATGTAGGTCTTTAATCTCACTAACAAAATGGTATGAATCCTTTGTGTGTGCTCTGGTATGTCCTCTTAGTGGTGACAGTATTTTTGCCAAGTGTTGAACCAACTTATAAGTTGGTGAATCGATCTGGCTTACTATAGGACGTAGTGGAGCGTTTGGTTTGTGTATTTTCGGTAACCCATACAACCTCGGTGGTTTGGCACATGATGGTATTGTCGAATTCACGTCAAGATTTAATTTTTCGGAGTATTTCTTTATTAAATCAGTAGTTGTTTTGAGTGTATTAGTTGTAGGGTCTATTTTGACCTTTTTGTATGTACTTACGTCCGATAAAAGTTGTTGTATTTTGAAATTATACTCTGACGTGTCCATTATTACCGTAGCATTTCCTTTATCCGCGCGGAGAATAGTGAGCTCTGGTCTGTTGCGTAAGTTGTACAACGCTTTAATTTCGTCTTTGGGCAAATTTAGTTTTGGTGCTGAACTTCGACGTAACAAGGACGAAATGTCTTGACGTATAGCCTCTAAATCCTCTTTACCGATATTATTCTTAAACAGACAATCCTCAACACTACAGATAATTTCTTCGTACGGGATTTTTTGCGGCGTTATAGCAAAATTTAAGCCTTTCGACAATACTTTTATTGTAGGTTCGTCCAGTGTTTCTTTTGACAAATTATAGACCGTGCGTTGTTTATTGTTTGCGTCTGTGGTCAACGGTTGTTGCGTTTCGTTTCTACGTTGACATGGATGTTTGGCATTTGATTTGATAGTCAATTTTTGGTATTTTTCTATTTGTTTGCCTTTGCATTCATTGTTTTTCGATATTTCGCGTTTGTTTAAAGTTTCAATGCAATTATTAAATGCAATTATTAAAAATATATAAAAATAAGTTAATACACGCGATAAAATCCGTAAAATTAGTTTTATTTAAAAATGTGTAGTGTTCGCGTAAATATAAGAAATCATTATGTACTTCTAGCAGATTTAAAAGCTTCAAACTTAGGATACAAGTAGTATTTAGTGTATAAATCCAGGAAAAATTAAAATATTTTGTAATTTTGGTCCAGTTTTCTAGATACACCAACTGCATAAATAACTTTGTAATCCTACATTTGAAGTGAATGAATCAGTGTACTTGTATATTTATAATTGAATAATAGGTGTAGATAGGTACCTAGATATAATTATGTTCAAAAGTAACTTGTAAAATAGTCAACGGAATCAGAAAGCAAGAATGGGACATCCAAAATCAAAATCCAATCGCACTAAATAATCTAGTTTAATATAATAATTATGTATTACTTGTGAGATACATTGTGTTTTCATGCGATGGCCAAGTCAATCTATTTATTTAAAACATAAAATATTTTTAATATTGATATGGTCACTGTAAGACGTTGTTAGGTTAGCTAATTACGTAATAACTTGAGACAGAAGGACCGTTAAGTAGGGGCTGAATAAATTAACCGACTTGGTATTACATGGATCTCACAACTTTTTACTGTAAAAGAACTGAGTTGCGAGACTTGGTTTTTTTAATAAGTTATGTTGTTGATGGCATAATGTTATTCTTAATAATTGATATTGAAGTCGGTTGAACAATATTTTTATTTTTTAATTATTGTTGAAAACAACTTCGCTATAATGTTCACTATATATCGAAATTATAACATAAAACGCAATTTTCGCACATTTGACTTTGTGGAATATGAAAATTTGTGTTAATTACACATGATTTGTAGTGATAATTCACACTTTATATTTAATTTTCAGTTAATTCTGACTATTAAATATAATGATACGTGAACGACACAGTATTTGAAATGGCAATTTTATAAAGTGTATGGCAATTTTATAAAGTGTATAAAATTATTACGAAGCAAAATATAAGGAATAAACTTTTAAAAATAGTCTAATTACTTACCTTTTATATAAAAACTAAGAAGAAACTTTCTATTGTACCCACTTCATTTTTTTTTTATTTGTATTTGCCTCTTACACTCACGCGGCGACGAAAATAAGACTACAGTATGTGACGAGAAACCCGACGCGTAGGTAAAGGCGGAAACTCGTCATTTTAAGTAAATTCTGTTAAGATAGAGAAGCGTTATTTAGTAACGAAACTAATTCTAATAAAATATTAATTTTATAATTCATATAAATAAAATTTAAAAAATAATTGTTCAGAGCACTCACACAGATCATTTACTCTTTGGTTCTGAGTGGTCGTTTCTAAATATTACCATACTCTTTGGAGCGTTCTACAAAGGTGACATTTGACTGCCCCATGTGTACTTCAAATATGGAGTGTAGAGTAAAAGGAGAACCATCTTATAAGGTGCGAAAGTTAAAAGTGTCCCAATATATACTGAAAATAGAGGTTCCAAAACCTACCACAATAGCGCTGGCGTCTGAAAAACTACGATATGAATATAGCTGTTGTAGACGGAGTGAAGTCAGCTGAATTAAAATATTAAAAAAATTTCATGACTAGAGTAGTTAGTAAAATGCCAGTATACAAAACCTCAACTATTTACGTAGTCGGTCCTTGTTTATTTCTCCATCTTATTCTAATAAATTTTGGCGCTTTTTTTATAATTTATCCTATGCTACTGCGGCGCCACCCTTATTGGACGCGTTTTTAGGGACACTTTTCATATACAGAGATGGTCCTCCTTCTACTCTACACTCCATAACTTCAAAGATTTGAATTGTGACTGACAATTTATCAAATAGTGCCTTACCATAACCTACCCCTACATGTGTTTATGTGCTGTCAGAAACGATCCAGGTTAAGGTGTAAAACATTAATATTACTTATAATCAACATAACTATTGACTAATTTCTAACTTACATCATTTTATGGTTTTAGTAACTTATAATTTACAACCACATTTTAATTATCTTAATAGCTCCAACTTAGTAATAATTTAATTTGGATAAACTTTCCAATATGGACCATCGATTTAAATGCCCATATTTTTTTTACTAAAAGAAAGCGTTTTGCAAAGTTTCAATATGCGGAAACGCGTACTTTTTGAGAAAAAAATTATTGAATATGAATTATTTTTGCAATATTTATGTATGGAGTGTAGAGTAGAAGGAGAACCATCTTATAAGGTGCGAAAGTTAAAAGTGTCCCAATATATACTGAAAATAGAGGTTCCAAAACCTACCACAATAGCGCTGGCGTCTGAAAAACTACGATATGAATATAGCTGTTGTAGACGGAGTGAAGTCAGCTGAATTAAAATATTTAAAAAATTTCATGACTAGAGTAGTTAGTAAAATGCCAGTATACAAAACCTCAACTATTTACGTAGTACAAAACCAAGCGGATTGGTCGGTCCTTGTTTATTTCTCCATCTTATTTTAATAAATTTTGGCGCTTTTTTTTAATTTATCCTATGCTACTGCAGCGCCACCCTTATTGGACGCGTTTTTAGGGACACTTTTCATATACAGAGATGGTCCTCCTTCTACTCTACACTCCATATATTTATGTCAATTCCTATGGTAAAACTGGGTAAAACTGAAACTATTTTGTATTGTCATTGTCATCTTCGGTAGGGATGTCGATTCTTTCCGAAAAATATCGATTTTTAAATGGATTCGAATCGTAAGCTGAGGTATCGATTCACAAAAACATCTATTTCTAAAATATCGATATTTTTTCATGTTTGCATTTATATTGTAAATATAAATCCATTTTATGAAAAACCAGAAAGATACCATAGTAAATAATCTCTTATTGAAATTTGTTTTATTTTAATTAATTTTAATTTTTAAATATTATTTCATTAATAAAACCATAGACAAATCGTCCAGTGATCTAAAGACAGTTTTATCGACATTTGATTATAAGAATTGCATGGAAACTTTAGACAAACGTGAAACAACTAAATACAATGAATGCAAAAATAAACATATAGATAAATACCAAAAACTAACAACCAAATCAAATGTCCAACGCCAATGTCAACGTAATAACGGAACGCAATCATTGACAACAGACGCGAGTAATAAACAACGTGCGGTCTATAACCTGTCAAAACAATCTCTAGACGACGCGACAATAAAAGTTTTGGCCAAAGGTATGAATTTCGCTATAACACCGCAAAAAATTCCGTATGAAAACATTATCTGTAGTGTTGAGGACTGTCTGTATAAAAATAATATTGGTAAAGAAGATTTAGAGGCTATACGTCAAGACATTTCGTCCTTGTTACGTCGAAGCTCAGCGCCGAAATTAAATCTTCCCAAAGATGAATTTATTGCATTGAAAAACTTACGCAACAGACCAGATCTTACGATTCTCCGCGCAGATAAAGGTAATGCTACGGTTATAATGGATACGTCGGATTACAATTTTAAAATACAACAACTTTTATCGGATGAAAGTACGTACGTGAAGGTCAAAACAGACCCTACAACTAATACGCTTAAAACAACTAGCGATCTAATAAAGAAATACTCCGAGGAACTGAATCTAGACGTAAATTCGATAATACCTACGTGTGCCAAACCGCCGAAGTTGTATGGGTTACCAAAAATACACAAACCGAACGCTCCATTACGTCCAATAGTTAGTCAGATCGATTCGCCAACTTACAGATTGGCTCAACACTTAGCAAAAGTACTATCACCACTCAGAGGACATACAAGAGCACACACTAAGGATTCATACCATTTTGTCAGTGAGATAAAAGACCTATGTCTTACTGACAATGAAACTATGGTCAGTTTTGATGTTCAGTCTCTATTTACATGCCTACCTGTTGAAGACTGCATCTCAATTGTAACTAGGAAACTAGAGGAAAACAACATGCCAGCAGAATATGCAGTATTACTCAGACATTGCCTTACATCTGGCTACCTATTGTGGAAGGAACAGTTTTACAAGCAAGTAGATGGTGTTGCGATGGGCTCACCGGTATCTCCCAGTGTCGCCGATATTTTCATGGAGGACTTTGAGGAGAAAGCCCTGCTTACTGCACCAGTAACTCCAAGTTTCTACAAGCGGTACGTAGACGATACTTTCACAATTTTACCATCAGACAAAGTAACTGCATTTTTAGAACATCTTAATTCCATAAACTCTAAAATTCAATTTACTATGGAGTTAGAGGCAAATAATTCTTTAGCTTTCCTAGATGTGTTAGTCATTCGAAATCCTAATAACACCGTAGGTCACACTGTGTATAGAAAAAAGACCCATACAAACCGATACTTAAACGGTGAATCCCACCATCACCCTTCACAGTTAGCTACCGTGGGCAAATCTTTGTTGCAGAGAGCACGAGGTATCTGTGACAGCAAACACCTGGCCGCCGAGCTTCAGCACGTCAAGCAGGTTCTGCACGACAACAAGCTTCGGATTCCGCGCCTACGTCACAGTGACCGAGTGAAGCCGGCTACAGTCGAGCGTGTGCCTGCTGTACTACCATATGTCAGAGGTGTCACAGACAAGATTGGCTACATCTTGAAGCGAGCTTCCATTAAAACGTACTTCAAGCCGCCGAAGGAGATTAGTCAATTCTTACCATCCGTCAAGTGCAATATTCCTCTACAAGATGCAGGAGTATACAAGCTTGATTGTGAGTGTGGTCTCTCATATATAGGGCAAACAAAACGATCAATAAAAACCCGCGTAAAAGAACACATAGCTGACGTGAAGCACCAACGTTCCGGGAAGTCTGCAGTTTGTGATCATATCCTAGACGGCCCCCGTCATTACATTAGATTTGATAAACCACAAGTCCTCGCGAAAGAACATCGATTCCTGCCAAGGATGATACGTGAGGCTATTGAAATTAAAAAACATCCTAATTTCAATAGAGAGGGAGGCTGGGTACTACCACCTGCTTGGGATCCTGTAATTCATAAAATTAAAACTAAACCCAAGCATACCACTGTAAGACTTCAAGACACAGTTAGTTCATTCTGCGTAGATCGGACCAAACTTAATAATTAAAAAGCTGAAGGTACTCCGGGTTAACTTTGACATCGGGACGTCAATCACCTCAGTCCCCCGTGACCACGGTTTGCTGGAAAGCAAACGAAACGTCGGGAATATAAAATAAGTTAATTAAACGCGATAAAATCCGTAAAAATAGTTTTATTCAATAATTTATTTTTATTAGGGCAGATAACAAATAAAATAGGTTAGGTTCAATTTATGTCAAAGAATCGAATTGATTGACCCCGACTCCTCCTGGTATGAGTTTGTCCTACCCCTAGAGTGGTTATATAGAGCCGGAGGCGTGTAGGGGGAGTAGCCTCCACCTGCTGTAACAAATTGTAGGCATTGGACGAGCCGGAGCGGCTGAGGCTGGTCGCCTTGAAGCTGTGGAGGCGAGGAGGGATGCCTGCGATTTGTTACGCAAAGGCGTAGAGGCTGCTCTTCCCGCAGCGCCGGAGACGTTGCAGTCTCAAAATAGATACAGAAACCCCTTTTAATCAGTCCCCCTATTTTACGTCTGATGAAGGGGATTTTGTTCTCATAAAATGGATTTATATTTCCATTATAAATGCAAACATCACAAAATATTAAAATTTTAGAAATTGACTTTTTTGTGAATCGATACATCAGCTTCCGATTCGAATCGATTTATAAAATCGATCTTTTTCGGATAGAATCGACATCCCTACTGACGATGACAATGACAATACAAAATAGCGTCAGTTTTACCGTAGGAATTGACATAAATTTACAAAAATAATTGATTTTCAATAATTTTTTCTCAAAAAGTACGCGTTTTCGCGTATTGAAACTTTGCAAAATACTTTCTTTTAGTGAGTACTATCTACAAAAAAATATGGGCATTTAAATCGATGGTCCATATTGGAAATTTTAACCTTTAATTTTTATGAAAGCTATTTAATAATAACTTGCCTTTTGTATAAAGTTCTCTCTAATATAGAACATAACTTAAGACTGCATATAAATTATAGCCATTAATTAAGTTCAAACTATAAGCATTATATATGCTTGCTTTACCAACTAAATGACTTAACAAGTTTTTATAACAATTTTATTATTTACTGACAAGTCAAGTAATTAGGATACTATTAAACTTTAATTAAAATCATCTGCATATTATGTTGTGATGCCTTAACATTATTTTGTGTATGTTTTAAAGTATATTATGTTCTGTATATGTTTTAAATAGTGATTCAATGTAAACACATTACCTTAGAACATAGTGTATTCCTTTTAATTATAAGTATTTGTACTTAAATTTAAGGAATATTTTAATAAGATATGATTATTAATATTAAGTTTGATTGTATAATAAGTATTCTGTTACCATGGAGAATATGGGTGATAACATAGATAATGCATCTACTAGCCAAGAAAATATCGTAGTAAACAGAGTAACTATTCGTTCTCCTCCTTTCTTTCCTGACCGTCCCGCACTTTGGTTTGCTGGTCTCGAAGCCCAGTTCCATATAAATGGTGTTACACAAGAAAACACTAGATACTTTTATGCTATATCCCAACTAGACACCAAGTGGGCAGTACAAGTGGAGGACATTATTACTGATCCACCAAAGACAACCATATTCGACGTTAAAAAATGCACTAATTTCACGATTTTCAGAGTCCTATGATGAAAAGGTTAGAAGATTGTTAGAAAAAGAGGAGATAGGCGACAGGAAGCCATCGTCCTTCCTTCGACATCTTAAAACACTTGCAGGCTCATCATTTCCAGAGCAACTGCTGAAATCTATATGGATGAGCAGGCTGCCTCATCAAGTGCAGGGCATTTTAGTTGCTTAAAAACAAGCTTCTCTGGAAGATCTTGGAGATTTAGCCGATAAACTTCATGAAATTAATCCCCAATTAACATCGGCATACGAGGTCAGTGCTATCGATCAATCTCTTGGCACAGCTTTATCTGTTCCTTCGACATCTCATGAAATTAAGATGCTCCACCAGAAGTTAGACTAATTAACCCGCATCGTCGCTAGTCTCACAGTAGGTACGGGTAAAATTAAACGTTACCAGAGCCGTAGCAGAAGCCGTTCACAGTCTAGAACGAGAGACAAGCAGCTCTTTTGGTATCACACCGTCTTTTCGTTAAAGACCCCTGCACCAAGCGTCAATTCCTGATTGACACAGGTTCAGACTTATGTTGTATACCTCGACAACATGTGCAAGGTCCGAAACAGCCGCAACCATATGAATTAATTGCAGCAAACGGCACCAATATAAAAACTTATGGCCTAGTACAACTAAGCTTAGACTTAGGTCTAAGAAGAGATTTTAAATGGAGTTTCGTTATTGCAGATGTCACTACTGGTATCATCGGATCCGACTTTCTGGCATATTACCATTTATTGCCAGACTGCTCCGAAGGTAAACTACGGGATGGGAAGACTGGACTGTCTGCTCCCGCTGTTATTTCGAGCCTTGATCAACCAAGTGTTAAAGTGGTTGCGCTTTCTGACTCGCCGTTTGCCAATGTTTTAGCAGAATTTTCTAGCATCTGTAGACCTCCAGGAGCACCTCGAAATCTGAAGCATTCTACAGTGTACTATATTAATACCACTGACGGTCCTCCGGTTATTGATCGCGCACGTCGTCTGGCACCTCAAAAACTTCTTGTTGCAAAAAAAGAATTTGAGGAGATGATTCGTGTAGGAACAGCAAGACCATCCAGTAGCTCATGGGCGTCACCACTACACTTAGCACTGAAAAAGGATTCCACCTGGCGTCCTTGCGGAGACTACCGTGCTCTGAATGCCAGGACCATTCCAGATGGATACCCAGTTCGTCATTTAGGGGATTTTTGCCAGAACTTAGCAGGATCCAGCATTTTTAGCACCATCGATCTCGTAAAGGCATATCAGGAGATACCTGTCAATACTACCGATGTGTGCAAAACCACTATAATAACTCCCTTCGGTCTATTTGAGTTTCCTTACATGACCTTTGGACTTTGGAACGCTGGACAGACATTTCAAAGGTTTATTGATGAAGTTGTGCGTGGACTCGATTTCTGTTTTCCGTATGTTGATGATATACTCGTATACTCAAGAGACCGAGATCAACATGAGCAGCATTTAAGGGCATTGTTCCAAAGACTACACGAATACGGCACCGTTATCAATCCAAGCAAATGCATCTTCGGTGCAGAAGAAGTAACCTTTTAGGCTGTAAGATTAGCGCAACAGGTACACGACCACCCGAAGAAAGAATCCGTGCCTTAGTGGAATATCCACCGCCTAAAACAGTGCAAGGCATGCGAAGATTCTTGGGGATGATAAACTATTACCGACGTTTTCTTCCCGACGCAGCCAAACACCAAGCACCGCTTATCAATGCCGTGACCTCTACAAACAGTAAAGGTGCTAAACCATTTCCATGGACATCTAAGCTGGAGGAAAGTTTTGAAGACTGCAAAAAGAGCCTGTCCCAAGCAAATGTCCTAGTACACCCTGATTGCAACGCAGAGTTAGGTCTTTTTACGGATGCCTCAAATACCCACATAGGTGCATGTCTTCATCAGAAAAAAGAAGGAGACGATTGGCATCCTCTCGCTTATTTTAGCAAGAAATGAACTGCTAAACAGTCGGGGTGGCCCGCGTATTACCGCGAACTCCTTGCTGTGTATGAGAGTGTACAACATTTTAGGTATATATTAGAAGTCCAACATGCGATATATACCGACCATAAACCTTTGGTGTACGCTTTCATTCAGCGTCGAGAGAAATTACCTCCCACACAGCTAAATCAGTTGTCTTTTATAAGTAATTATTCGACTGATATCAGACACATAAAGGGAGATAACAACATCGTGGCAGACACGATGTCTCGAATCGAGTCGATATCCCTCAATCCCTCAAAGAGGACTATATAGCATTATCAGTTTCTCAGGAAGGGGATCCAGAATTAGAGAAACATGAGATGAATTCATCACTGAGACTAAAAAAAGTCACCATCCCTGGCACTTCGGTAACAGTCATATGCGACACCTCGACTGGCCGACCAAGACCATTTCTCACACATCCTTTTCGTCGTGCAGCTTTTAATAAATTGCACAACTTAAGTCACCCTGGCTTTCGAGCTACACTTAAATTAGTGTCGGAGCGCTATGTTTGGCCAAATATGAAAAAGGAATGCCGTGTGAGGGCTCGCTCATGTCTAAACTGCCAGCGTAGTAAAGTGACGCGCCATATAATTTCACCCACTGATCATTTCAACGGTCCTTCTGGAAGTTTAGGCATGTACATATTGACATCATAGGGCCGCTTGCACATTCACACGGTCACGTCTATTGTCTTACTGAGATCGACAGGTTCACGCGATGGCGGGAAGCATGGCCTATAACATCAATAACTGCTGAAGAAGTTGGAAAAACTTTTGTTGCAGGCTGAATATCGAGTTTTGGAGTACCCAATATTGTGACCACTGACCAAGGAAGACAGTTCAAATCTGCATTGTTCTTGCGTCTAATGAACCTCTGCGCAACGAAACGTATTCGAACCACTGGTTACCATCCATGTGCCAATAGCATGGTCGAAAGGATGCATCGACAATTAAAGGCTGCGCTAATGTGTCACTCTAATACTTGGACGAAAGCATTACCGCTCGTCCTTCTAGGAATGAGAAGCACTCTCAAGGAGGATACAAAAACCTCGGCAGCAGAACTGGTGTATGGAGAACCGCTGCGTTTACCAGGTGAGCTAATCGCGCCTCAAAAAATTACAAATAATCCTGCACACGTAATGGACTACGTAGCAGATTTAAAAAGGAAAATGGAAATAATACGTCCAATTTCTGCATCTCACCACACGCGGTCGTCTACATTTATTTTCAAGGATCTCGCATCGGCTACTCACGTTTTCCTTCGTGATGATACAGTAAGGCGCCCTCTACAACCACCGTATACGGGTCCTCACGCAATTCTTCAGAGAAGAGACAAAACGCTGACCTTAGACGTCAATGATAGAAAGGTCACTGTAAGCATTGATCGTGTGAAGCCGGCTTACATTGAAAATAATGAATCAGGCAAACAAACTACTACTCCTGTGACCCCAGCAACCGCCAATACTTCTCCTCCTATAGTCCAACCTACCCGTAATAACACAGTTACGCCATCCGATACTAGAGTACTTAAAACAAGATCTGGCAGATGCGTAAGATTTAGAAATATTTTAGATATTTAGAACTTATTTTATGATTTTTTTTAACCTTTATTTAGCCTTATTATTCTCCGTAAGGGGGTGGTGTGGCGAAACGCCAAGCCGCCTAAGCATTAAAAGAGCATATTAGCCTTTGGACATAGAGCATTATATCTATGGCTACCCACGCTAACAAGTTACAACGCAGTTTTATAAAATTGATAGAATTCTACTTAATGTTAAATTTTTAAGCAGTTCTGTTAATCTGTTATTGCGCACTATCTTTTATTTGTATTACTTTGGTGATGGCATACCAATATAAAGTTAATCACTATTAATGCCGTTTTAAAAAGAGAATGAATACCCCAGAACTACAACACGATACCAGCTTAACCTCCGTAGGAGTAATAGTGTTCTGTGAGCATAACCCCATAAGTTCATCATAAAGAATCCCTATTGCTCCATGAAGTCGGCCAGCTGCTGGCCCCTTGGGTTCTGTTGCTCTATTCCGAATTTCCCTACTTTCAGTTCACCGTTCTCTCTTTTGCCTAGTTTTGCATTGAAGTCTCCCATTTACACCGTATAGTGGGTTTCGGAGGAATGCATGGCTCTAGAGATATCCTCATACATTTCCTCCACCTCCTCATCGGGGTGTGCCGAGGTTGGTGCATAAACCTGTATGACCTTCAGCGAATACCGTTTGGTGATTCTGAGTATATGGTACGCAACCCTCGTTGACACACTCCCAATCTTTACAACGTTGTTTACGAGAGACTTGTGGGCGATAAATCCGACACCTCCTTGGGACAGATGGTCGCCCTCCCGGTGATAGAACAAGTTACCGGATTCGAGGATTACCGTATCCTCACCCCCTCTTCGGCCCTCGGATAATCCTATAATGTCCCAGCGCAACTTGTCTATCTCTTCTTCCAGCTCCAGAATCTTCTCGTCAGTCCTCAGGCTGCGTGCGTTACAAGTTCTTATTATAAAGGTTAATTTCTTCGTCATTTCTATTGCCCCAGCGAAATCCTAATAACGACTTATCCTCTGTATACAAAATATTATGTATACATAATATTTTTTTACTTCACACATTAATAAGAGCGCAGAACATACGCAAATAGAATAGAATTCTGCTAATATTTAAAAATGTAATTTTAATCAATTAATATGTAAATTAATTGTGCTAATCTCAGAGTAATATGCATATAATTATATTCTAAGGACCAAACCAAAAAATTTTAACACATTATTTTTTTTTAATAGGACAAGGATGACAAACGAGTACACATTCCACCTGATGGTAAGTGGCATGGAGTATAGCCATGGTAAGTAGTTGCTGCGGCCCATAGACATCTACATCTATCCTCTATTACAAATCAAAATGCAGATGCGTTGTCACCCGTGAGGACTAAGATGGAATGCCTCATTTCCAGTAAAAAGGGTCTCCAGTTCTCTACACTTACCATACGAAACACAGCAGTGTTAAACAGATATTTTACGCTGGTACTCTGTGAGAGCGTGGTCCTTTACCGGTCGAGCCGACCCATTCGTGCTACAACTATACTACTAATATAGCTGAAGCATGGCTCTACTACGTAAAGAAAATAATATATTCAGTTTCTTCCGTTTTATTATGTATTTTTGTATCTAATTTTTAAAATGGCAATCTGAAGCAATGCGAAGGAAAGAAACAGCGATATCTTTTTTTCGCTTTATCTTTATACATCCAACTCACCCTAGACAAAATTATGATTGTTAGCAAGTTTCTCGGATTTAATACAAAGATGTAATACCCCGCACCAGGGTGATTCAACTCTGTATGATATTGACTATAAATTAATTTATTATTTAAAAAAATGACGCACGATTTGTGATCAGATCGAAAGTAAATTAAGCGTTGTGCAAACAAAAGCACACAATCATATGATCACTATCTGACAATTTAAGAAGAAAAACTTTTGACAATATTGTGGTAAGTATTTAAGCATTTTGAATTTATTGATCGGTATTTTGTAGGGATTATTACTATATTAACTCAAATTTTATCTATTTCAGATCATGTATTTGACATGAGTTAAGTTCTCTGCATGAAAATTTTGCTGATTTAAATTTACGTTGACGCTCTGTGAAGAATAACTCTCACGATAACATATGTTATAAATCATTATTACGCGTGGAAATATTTTCTGTAAAAGCAATAAAAGACATCAATAATAATAATAATATATAGTGTATTAAACAATCTCTTCCAAAAATAAAATTACAGAACTACCTATTTTTACTTTTACTATATCCCACATACTCCTCTAAAGTAAATTTTGGTGTAACCTCTCAAATGTATGGGAATTCACCCAATAGGTCTTTGACGTTCGAGCCAAAATTACTCTTTGTCTTAAATAAACAAAAAGTTTAAACGTTACCTAATACAAGGTTTGAAATTCCCGCTAAAAATGTTTTATATAGGCACCCACCGTGGCGCTTTTAGTGTACACTCATAAACACGTATTTCCTTTTGTTAGTACGAAGTTGGCGTACTTCTCTCGGCAAAGAGTAATTGTGTTCTGTGCCCTGGTGCAATTACTCTTTATCTGTGCGTACAAATTAACAAATTATATACAGGGAGTTTTGGCGGGAAATTGACCGGCGGCGGTTTGCTGCTCCTGTATTATTGTTTAAATAATGGTTTGAAGTGGACTTTGATATGTAAAAGTGTTGCGATTTTGTGTATTAAGTGTCTACGCATGTGAACTATTAGTGGAAACAGTGAAACAAGTGCTCTGATGGTGATGGATTCTCAAGATAAGCTGTTTGTTTGCATAGGCACCTTTAGATACCATCGCCAACTATCAGCTGTCTGCTGGATCAAGTTGCCGCCAAAATCTTCCAGGAACTGCACAATGTGACGCATCAACATATTGTGAAGCAGTATACTATGAAGGAGTGGGGAAATTACAATAAACCGAATAAAAATACTTAAGACTTGGCCTAAAGGTCTAGATACCAGGCCATAAACTCCAAAAAAAAAATTATATACAGGGCGGGAACTTCAAACGAGGCGGTCGATTTAATTTTTATATTTATCGTTAAAATATCCTGTTCGGTGTAAATAATTGTACATTTTATTAATTGTTAAAATGAATGAACCGGAGGATCCAGGTGGAACCCCGAAACGATCCAAAATTGTTCGTAAAAGAGGTACGAAGGAAAGTGGACCTGAAGTAGGCGGCGGTGAGGATGACTTTATTCCGTTTTTTAAGCCAGGTTATCTGAGACTTTATCCTGAACATTGTACAAATACGGACTTCAAAGTTTTTGTTGAAAGCCAGGACAAACAGGTTAAACTTGGAAATAAAAGCCCAGTTTACTTAAATCATATTTTTACTTCGGAGGTGAAAGGTGTGGTAGCTTTACATAGAGTCAATGCCAACAAAATTGCGGTTGTTTTTAAACAATACAACACTGCAAATAATTTCATCACAAATACAGACTTTTTAACAAAGCACAAATTGAAGGCGCATATTCCTGCAGCGCAGATAGAAAAAACTGGAATCATCCGATATGTGCCTACCAACATTTCGAACAAGGAATTATATACGAAACTGTCTTCGATTTACGAAATTATTTTAGTGAGAAGATTCACGAAAAAAGTCGGTCAAAGTACTGTAGGTCTCGAGACGGTCAGTATAACTTTCCTATCAAATGTTCTGCCCGACAACATCCAATATGACCTATTTTCGTTCAGGGTGTTTGAATATGTCCCACCGTTACAACAATGCTTCCGGTGCTTCAAGTTCAACCACCCTGCGAAAATTTGTAATGGTAAACAACGTTGCTCGATATGTGCTGGGGAACATAATTTCAGAGACTGTGATAAAAAAGAAAACCTGTGTTGTGTCAATTGCAGTGGTCCCCACCTGGCCATTTCCAAATCTTGCCCAATAAAAATGAAAAAAATACTTGAAAAAAAGGGTAAAATTACTTATGCCTCTGTAGCTAATACAATTAAGTCATCTGATTTTCCGTCTTTACCTGCACAGTCGAGCAGCATTGTTAAGACCCTACCATCAATAAACCAAAATGTACATAAATTAAATAAAAATGTAAAAATTGTAAATAATGTAAATAAAACAGTGCCTGAACCCAACTTGAACCAAACTCAACTTAAGGCTCAAATTGCAAACAATAAGAATATTTTGATGGCAATGGTCCAAACTTTAGTCGAATTAGGTAATAAAACAGATGATGAACCTGTGACTACACTGTTCATTAAAGACTTACTTTTAAAAAATCTGTCACAATAATGGACAGTACAGTACAGAACATACAGCAGTTATGTATAGCTCAGTACAATATTCAAAGTATACATAGGAAAAAATCCTTATTGTCTAAATTTTTAGATGAGCAAAATGTTGATATCTGTCTACTCAATGAAACTTGGCTGAAAGATACTCAGCATTTTAACATTTCGGGATATAATTTCCACTATCATAATGCCCAAAATGAGCATGGTGGAGTAGCAATTTTGATCAAACCGTATTTTAAATATAATATTATTCAAACCAGATTTTACCAAGACATTCAGACTGTGGCATTATTGTTATATGTAAGTGGTAAACAATTAACGATTTTATGTGTATACTGCCCTCCATCGAATGGTAACTTCAGAATAAGTAAACTGCGTGATATAATTAGAGATTTGCCTAAGCCAATATATGTGGCTGGAGATTTCAACGCTCACCATGTGGCATTTGGGTGTATGACCACGAAAAGTCGGGGTCATCAGTTATACGATTTAATTGATGAATTTGATCTATGTGTCCTCAACAATGGTAGCTTCACTACTATTAATTATCCTAACCGAAATCCATCGGCTATTGATGTCAGCTTTTGTAGTGCTTCAATCACTCCACTATGCGAATGGTGGGTGCATGATGATTGTATGGGGAGCTATCATTTTCCCACGCTTACTCGTGTTTTATTGTCAGTTGATAGATACCAAATTAATCCTCCCATTGAAAAATTCTTATACAACAAGACAGACTGGACAAAATACAATGAGCTGTCTATAACTGCTTTTTCTAATTTTGAAGTTAATAATGAGAATCCATTACAGTCATATGATGAATTTATTGAAAGGCTTGATACACTTAGGAGAGATACTGTGCCAAAGTTTGTCAAAGCAAACAACTATCGTTGCAAACCTCCAACACCTTGGTGGAGTGACACATGTGAACAGAGTGTTATTAAAACTTATGAAGCTTTAAAACTGTACAGAAGAGATCCAACCATTGATAATTACATTAATTACAAAAGACTTAATGCTGTTAAGAAAAAGACTATTTCAGAACATAAACGCAATGGTTGGGCTAACATCTGTAATACTTTTAACAGAACTACACCTGTTAGTATTATTTGGAAATACATCAAGTTATTTAAACGAATAAAATGCAATAATAGAACATATAAAAACGAATTTGTAGTCCCTCTTTTAGACAAATTATCTCAAAATGGATGTAGGGTTATTGATAATCTAGAAAGTTATTTTCAAATTAATAATAGTCTTCAGAAGTCCAGTTTCCTCATAGAACCCTTTACTTGGAGTGAGTTTTGTACAAGTTTACAATCCAGACGAAACACAACCCCTGGTTTAGATAATTGTCCATACATTTTGATCAAAAACCTAAATCAGTCCGTTCAAAAAAACTATTAGCTAATCTTAATGCTCTTTGGCACTTAAAAAAAATTCCTGAATCTTGGAAAACACAGTGTGTAATCCCTCTACTTAAGCTTGACAAGCCACCTGAAGATCCTAATTCATATCGTCCTATATCTTTGTCATCTTGTGTTGGAAAGCTTAATGAAAACATGATAAAGATGCGTCTTGAGTGTTATGTAGAGGCGAACAACATCATTCCACATGTTCAATATGGCTTCCGGAGAGGCAGAAGTTGTGCTGACAGCTTCATCTCTCTTGTCAGATCTGAAATATGCCAATAATAATAATAAGTCCAGTGTTTGTGTTTTTCTGGATATTGAAGATGCGTTTGATAATGTAGATCCTGGCATTTTGGTTCAAGTTCTTTCTGACATTGGTATACCAGGCATACTTTGCCATTGGTTATTTAATTTTTTAATAGATAGAACTTTGTATATAAGGCATAATAATATTCTCCATGGTCCCAGAAGGGTCTCCAAAGGTACAATGCAGGGGGCTACATTATCTCCATTGTTGTACAACATATACACTAGTCAAATTCTTAATTTTGTAAATATAGAAGGTGTAAATATTTTACAATTTGCGGATGATCTTGTAATATATTGTACAGACCATAATGTAGATAGAGCTGTAAATAGTATAAATAATGCTTTAGAGCAATTGTACATATATTATAATGACAAGTTGGCTCTACAGATTAACCCTAACAAAAGCAAGGCCATGATTTTTAGTAAAGATTTTCCCTCTAATGGCATACGCTACAATAATCATCCAATTTCAGTTGTATCTAACCATAAATTCCTGGGTGTTGTCATTGATAACAAACTTTGTTTTAATTTACACATCAATCACATTATAACTAACTCTCTTAAGGGCTTAAATATTATAAGATGTTTAGCTGGTGTGACTTGGGGTGCAGACCCCAAAGTTTTAAGTATGCTATATAAATCTATAGTCAGAAGCCATTTCGACTACAGTTGTTTAGCCTACTCAAATAGTAGTTGTGTAAAAAAACTAGACATAATTCAAAACAAAGCTCTGCGAATTATTTCTGGGGCTATGTGTTCAACTCCCATACGAGCTATGGAAGTTGAAACCAAAATAATGCCACTGTGTCTTAGAAGACTTCTGCTAATAGAGAGATATTTACTAAAGCTGGTATCTGGTAATGATAATGTTCTCAAAAAAATAGTACCTTTTCCTTTACAATGCTCGGTCCAGCAGACTTCGGGAGGTGAGCTTTTACAAGGTTATTTTCCAGTTTTGCCTCTCATTGTACAGCAAATGAATGAAGATTTTAAAAATGTAATTAAACAATCAAAGTGGACATGATACACATACCCATATTCCTGTATTATATTTGAGACCAATATTGTTACCAAAAACTTTTTTAATAATTGTGAATTATTAAGTTTTATTTCCGACAATAACTACTATACTTTGTATACAGATGGTAGCAAAAGTGAGCTCTTTGTGCGCAGTGCCCTTTATGATCCACAATGCAAGTTTGGTCAAAGTTTTCTTCTGGACCCTAAATGCAGTGTTTTCACTGCAGAGGTATATGCAGCCCTCGAGGCCCTGAAGAGGATTGCACATATAAATAGTTTTAATAATTTTTTAATTTTAACAGACAGTTTAAGTATGGTCCAAAGTTTAACTAATCTCAGATTTGACTTTAAAAAAAACTATATTTTGTATAATATTAAAAAAATATTATTTAGTTATGCAAAAAAGGGTATACAGGTCTCTTTCATGTGGATTCCATCACATAGGGGCATAACAGGAAATGAGATAGTAGATAAAATTGCACGTGATGGAACCAACATGTTGGATGTTAGCTCCATAGTAAAAGTACCTTTGACCGACTGTTATCAATCTATTGACAACCAGGTCAATAGCTTATGGGTCGAATTTTGGAAACAAGATCAAGAACAGAAGGGTAAATGGTATGGAACTGTTCAAGAAAAACTACCTGTAGCACCATGGTATAACAAACTGAAAATGGCCAGTCGGGACTTTATTACCACTATAAATAGACTGCGCTTTGGTCACTCCACCGTCCCGGCCCACCTGGCTCGATTGGGCATAGTGGAGAGCAGTTACTGCACCTTCTGCAATAATTCTGTTGGTGATATCGAACATTTCATATTTACATGTGAGTGCTTTTCATTTAACAGATTGATTCTTGTCAGTGAAATTAGTGACATAGTGCAAAATCAAGTGACAGTGCAAGATCCCGCCCGCCGCCTGAGTGATATGTTAAAAAATAGATCCTATTACGTGCCTCTATATAAATTCATCAAAAATACAGTGGGGAAATTATAATAAACCGAATAAAAATACTCAAGACTTGGCCTAAAGGTCTAGATGCCAGGCCATAAATTCCAAAAAAAAATTATATTCATATTCTATTTTATTATCTACTATAGGTAGAATCGATGTTGTAGAAACATCGATGATGACATCGACAGCTCAACATCGATGTTCGATGTTTATCCTACTCAAAACATCGATGTTTGCCATTATCGATGTTTTATTGCACATGTATTTAATAGGTTGGAATTAAATGAATAAAAAAATTGTCATGTTGTTTATGGTTTATAATTAATGAAATAAAAGAAATTAATAAACAATGTAGTATAAACAGTAGTTAAAAAAAATGGAAGAAGCTTACAATTATCTAATTCATTTGTTATATTGTCCAATATTTTTGCCGATTGATTGAAGAAATAGTAATTTTGACAAAGAAGTACCTTTCAATCTGTTTCTTTGTTGCTAAAGAGTTGAGCCAGCTATTGAAAATAATTTAAAAATTTTGTATAACTGACTCAAGGATAACTCAAAAACTATTGGTCAGACTTATATGGGTTTAATTTATATGGGACCATATGTGAAGCACCAAATTTCAAATAAAAAAAGAATCATCGAAATCGGTTCACTCAGAAAAAAGTTATGAGGTAACACACATTTTTAAAAAGAACATACAGTGGAATTGAGTACCTTCTCCTTTTTGAAGTCGCTAGATAACCGCTCATATGGCGCTGATGTAGCGATTGTGGTCAAATATCCCACCGCAAGTTTTCTTTTTAATTTTAGATAGGTAGTACCGATAACATTGTTCTAAATGTGCATTGCATCGTGTTTAAGATCAACCATCGGATTTTTTTTAAAACAATCGATAAAGAAACAGATAACCAACAACGACACAAATAACAAACGAAATCAGTGACAATTGCGACATTACAGTTGACACTCGACAGTTAAATTTGATACCCTATAATGATATATTTTTAAGTTATCGATGCGTTCGAGCATTCTGAATTATTCAAAATTTTAAATATTTTAGAGGAGATGCAAGATTTAGTAGATATTTGTTTCGCGGACTCGCAGGTACCCAATAATCGATTATGGGTTTATTGACATCGATGTTTCGATGTTTGATATGTGGCAATATCAATGTTAAAACATCGATGTTTTCATTCTTGACATCGATGATCATCGAACATCGACGATCATCGATCATCCCTAAACTACTAGTACCAGTTAGCAAAGAGAAGATAATATAAATATAATCACTACGCTAGGTAGTCTGTGAATTATATCGGCGGCGTGCTAAAGTGAAAACTGTCACGAATCCAGAATATTACACGACATATTTTTGGAAATTGCCGTGAATATTAATAAATGTTAGTTTAACTTGTGTAAATACTTCAGCGTAAATTTGGCAATTAATAGTATCTTTTTTATCATAAACGTCAATTTGAATCCGCAGTCTTGGATAAATACTACAAAATGGTAAGCTAAATTTTACATTATTGCACATTTTTGAGAACTATAATTAAAATAATTATAACTGTCTTATTGTAATAATATAATTACGAATTCTTTACAAGTTATGATTCGCTAGAATTCACCGGTATGTAGCCATATTGCGGGCACGGTAATGGCTGGCCCGGCGCCATGTCATTTACCCAATCACGTTTTTCATTTGAGATAATAATTATTGTAATGTTATATAGTTTTATCTATATTTTTTGGATCGCAATGAACACCACATATTGAATAAAATTAATTAATTTTATTTGTTTTTACCCGACCGCCTTAGAAGGATGGTAATGTTTTTCTAGAGTATGTATTAAAGATGAGACGTATTTACGCTACTAGGTTTTAAAACTAGGTATTCACTTCAAAGTACGGCGCCCTGGTACGAGCAAAAAATACTTGCAAGTATGAAAGTATGTGTTGTTGGTTGCTCGAAGAATTTGAACACTATACATGAAAATACTTGCATAGGAAAATGATCCATATCTCAATAGTAACGAGTTGAATGTAAATTCAAGAAAAACAACTTCCTTCTGCTAGAATCCCATATCTCTGGTGCCCTTTGACCTACAGGACCCAAATTCAAACTCGACCGAGCTACTACCTCAAGGTATCCACATACCAAATTTAAAGTCAATCGGTCCAGTGGAACGGAAGTTATCGTGTCGGCATACAGACTAACAGACTGCCAGCTAAAACCATTAACTTCCTTTCAATGCTACGCAGAAGGAAGTTAATAAGAAACTAATCGTATTTGTGAATGGAAAATTCTTTGAACTTCAAAGTATTTTTATTTATATGACTTTGCTCCTTATTCATATTGGGATAACATGGAATATGGGTCAAATTCCTATGCAAGTATTTTCAAATTTTGACACCACGGCTGGACACGTCGCTCGCGTCGCAATGAGACGTATTTACACTACCAGGTTTTCTCTTCAAAGTACGGCGCCCATTTACGAGCAAAAAAAACACTTGCAAGTATGAAAGTAAAGTATGTGTTGTCAAGTCAGATGCTGGAAGAACTTGAGCACTACAAATGAAAATACTTGCATAGGAAGATAATCCATATCTTGATAATTAATTTAATAAGGAATTTAATCGTAATTCAAGTATTTTTAAAACCTGGTTTTTGACCCTGGTATTTTTCCATACTCGTACTTAGAAGCCCTGGTATTAAATTTTGCAAGTATGTCTTATCTCTAGTATGTATATGCGTATACACACACTAGAAATATATATATATATATATATATATATATATATATATATGTGTATATATATATATATATATATATATATGTGTATATATACCCGACACTGCAGCACCCATGGTCATGGAGGGGACTGAGGTGTTCGAAGTGCCAGTATCGTAGTTAACTATGGCTAGCCTCAGATTAAAATTAATAATATTTGGTCCAATCTAGTAGCAGTATGAAGTTATAGTACAAACAGACAGTGAGACAGACAGACAGAAAAAAAATATTTAAAAATTTATTAAGAATAACTCAAAATTTTAAAAATGTCTTTTTGTTGTTAAGTACCATATTTACTTTCATACGCATTTAGTAAGCTGTTATTTTACATTACAAACAGACACATCAATTCTATTTATTTGTATAGATAGAATCCCAAACCGATGGTATCCAGCAACCAGCCATCTTGTGGTCTATCAAATCTGATATTGTGATGGGGGCGGTCCTGTACATATTCACACACTGCAGGTTTTCTTTAACACATGTTTAATTGACCTTTTAGTTTGTCCTATGTAAGAGAGATCACTTTCACAATCAAGCTTGTACACTCCTGCATCTTGCAGAGAGATATTACACATGACTGATAGTTAAAACTGATCTTCTTGGGCAGCTTGAAGTAAGTTTTAATGGAAGCATGCTTCAAGATGTATCTAATTTTGTCGGTGACACCTCTGACATATTATGTCAGCACAGCTGACACAAGCTTGACTATGGCAGACTTCACTCGTTCACTGTGATGTAGTCATGGGACCTGAAACTTGTTGTCGTGCAAAACTTGCTTGACCTGTTTGAGCTCGGAGGCCAGGTGTTCACTGTTACAGATCCCTCGTGCCCTCTGAAACTAAGATTTTTTGATGGTAGTCAACCGTAAAGTATGTTGGGAGAATAATTTATCTGTATGGGTCTTTTTTTTGTACACAGTGTGGCTCAAGGTGTTATGAGGATTCTGAATTACTAATACATCTAGAAAAGCTAAAAAATTATTTGGCTTTAACTCCATTGTGTTAACACAATGAAATAATTTATTATAAATAGATATGCACTTATAACACAATATATGTATTGTATTCAATTAATATTTGTACAGAGCACTCAATATTTACAGTTTTTGTAATCACAACACTTAATTACACTTTGACTAATTCGACGTGTGTTCTCAAAACAGAATGCCTAAGAATCATGATGCACCCTATTTTATAACATTTCCCTTTCCACTTCTCTTCCGTTGTGCACGAAGGGGGGGGGCGGACGATGTTGCCAGTAATAAAGTTGCCAACAATTGTGAACTGGATTTTGGAATTTATGGAGTTAGAGATGGTCTAAAAATGCCTTAACTACAGGTAGAATTGTAATAATTTAAAATTAAAAATTTTGTACAACCAACTTCAATATAAATTATTAAGAATAACTCAAAAACTATTGGTCAGACCTTGATTAAATTTATATGGGACCACATGTTAAGCACTAGCTTTCAAATAAAAATAAGCATCAAAATCGGTTCACCCAGAAAAAAAATATGACGTAACACACATAAAAAAACACAATCGAATTGAGTACCCTGTAAGTCGGTAGAAAATGCATGAAATGTCGGCAATATATAACAAGTTAAAATATATGTTAAAATCCATAAAAACCAGTTCTATTTTAATGTGTAGTGTTCATGTAAACATAGTTATCCATCACCCAAGTTGTAAAATGAAAAACATTTTTATTTTGGGTACCTCCCAAACATGATTCTTTTACCTGTCTTTTTATCTGTAAGGTGTTGTTGGATACTTATAGGTGCTAGAAAGCTGTAATTTGGCATAGTTGTACATATAAATTACATGGACAAAACGATATTATGAATTGAAAAACATTTTTATTTTAGGTACCTCCCAAACAGATAATTTTTATTACTTGTTTATTCCATCATGTGGGGTGTAGTTACAAATTTAAATATTTGGGGTCTGGAACAAAATTTCCATCCCTTATATACATATGAGGGCTGCACTAAAAATATTGGGAATAGAATATTTCTACTGTTCCTGTCATATTAAAATCTTTTTAATTGAAAACTCCTTGGTTTTAAAAATCGAATACCATTTATTTATTTAAAAAAAGATTCTCGGTCTTGCCACAAGGTTTTATCAAACTTGTTTAGTTGTTGAGAAAATGGAATTGACTCGAGAAAATTCAAGAGCCATGATTTATTATGACATTCGAAGTGGTTTAACACAAAAATAGTGTGTTGACCGGATGATTTCTGCATTTGGTGATGAAGCCCCATCCAAAACCACAATTTATCGCTGGTTTGCTGAATTTCAACGTGGACGGGTCAAGCTCAGTGATGATCCCCGTCAAGGTCGTCCAAAAACTGCAGTCACCCAAGAAAACGTTGATGCTGTGCGTAAGCTGATTGAGGAAGATCGACATGTGACATACCGCGAAATTCAGGCAACTTTAGACATTGGCATGAGTCATATACAAATAATCTTGCATGAACAATTAGGTGTGAAAAAGTTGTTTTCCCGGTGGATACCGCATTCGCTCTGTGAAGAGCAAAAAGCGGCTCGCGTTACTTGGTGCGTCAGAACTCTCGAAAGATTCCACACAGGATTCTCAAATGCTGTATACAACATCGTATCAGGTGACGAATCCTGGATATACGAGTACGAACCCAAAACAAAAAACCAGTCACGAGTTTGGGTGTTCGAAAATGAGTTAAAGCCAACAAAAATTGTTCGTTCACGGAGTGTTGCAAAAAAAATGGTGGCCACGTTTGTCTCCAAAACCGGCCATGTTACGACTATTCCTCTTGAGGGACAAAGAACGGTTAATGAAGAATGGTATGCTAGCATTTGTTTGCCACAGGTCGTTTCTGAACTCCGTAAAGAGAACTGCAACCGCCGCATCATTCTCCATCACGACAATGCGAGTTCTCACACCGCACACAGAACAAAAGAGTTTTTAGAGCAAGAAAACATAGAATTATTAGACCATCCGCCGTACAGCCCCGACCTAAGCCCTAAGGATTTCTATACTTTCCCTAAAGTAAAGAATAAATTGCGTGGACAGAGATTTTCATCACCTGAAGAAGCTGTGGACGCCTACAAAAAGGCCATTTTGGAGACCCCAACTTCCGAATGGAATGGTTGCTTCAATGATTGGTTCCATCGTATCGAAAAATGTGTCAAATTTCGTGGAGAATACTTCAAAAAGCAATAAATATATTTTTAAATAGTAATGTTGTGTCACTTCCTTGATTCCCGAAATTTTCAGTGCCGCCCTCGTATTTTGCTTTAAAGTGGTATTTTTTATTAGTCATGTGTTCCCTCTCTACCAATGTGAAATGTGAAAAGTATACAGTATACGTGATGGTAGAATTTGGCACTTAGATTAGTGAAATTTCACTACAAACGGTTAAAACACAAGATTATTTAACTTAAAGCCAGTTATTTTAATAATATTATAGACAGACAAATCAATTTTATTTAAATGTATGTATATGTAAGGAGGATGACTCCAGTACAATAGTAACAATCTTTCTTCTCATCTCATGACATACTCAAGAAGAGAGAGATTGCAAGTGATTTTCACTATTTGGAAGTCCTTAATGCCAACGCCTACAAACTAAACTATGTGATAACTAGGCTCAGCGAATTGAACTAAGCTAACCTGGAAAATCATTGCACGTCCACCGAAATATAAGCTAAAATAAACAACACTAAGCGAAAGGCGCCAGAGGAATAAGGTAAGGGGATGAGAGGTGCTTAGCTTAGTATGTGTAGTTACAGATCGGCCTGCACAACTTAGTTTGGCTATTTTACCTAGATTAGCTGGCATAGTATGCAGTGGACGCACATGTAAAAACTGGCTCAGCTATGCAAGCTAAGATAAACTAAGTTACTTTAGTTTGTGGTGGACATTCAGCTTTATTCTTAGTTAAAATCTGTAATCATTACCATTCTGAAATATGAGAAAGTTTCCATGTGATAGCTTGAGCTGTCTTGAATATTATGCAATCTCATTATAAATATGGGACATTTCCACTTGGATGTGGGTAGCACTGCAGGGCGACAAGCTCGTTATGGAATAATTAACAGTGATACAACAGGTAAGAAATAATTTTTTAAGGGATCTTTTAGTGAGTTCTTTGGTCTAAAATTGTATACAGCACAAATAGCTCTTTTCATTAGTCATAGCTTAAAAAGTGTTAATAGACTATTAAATAATACAAGATTGATAATGTTACCTGGGAATTGATGGCTATCATGCAGTTTTTAATTGTACAACATATTGATTTTAATGTAATTTAATATTTAGGAAAAGTCTTGCTGGGATTCTTAATAATTCTTCCCACCATAGAGGTGTTTTTTTAAACTGGTAATATACAAGAACTATTCTAGTAAATCTATCTATACATCTATACAAATAAATAAAATCGAAGTGTCTGTTGTAATGTCAAAATAACAGGTTTTGGTTAAACTAAAATTTCTAAATGCATATGAAAGTATGTACGGTACCTATAACACAAAAACACAATATTTAAAATTTTTGTCTCTGTCTGTTTGTACCGGTTAATCTCCGAAACGGCTGGACCGATTTCGATGGGACTTTAACTGAACGATAGCTGATGTTATAAGGAGTAACTTAGGCTACTTATATTTTAGAAAAAGAATTAGGGTTCCGCGCAACATAATTAAAACCCTATATTAAACGCGGCCGAAGTCGCAGGGAACAGCTTGTATTGAATAAAAATTATATCTTCTATTCATTGATATTGATTATATCCTTTTAACTATTTAAGTTTTGTCTCAAAATTAATTTCAAAACAGTTGGACGGTGGTGTGATCCATCCACACCCAGGGGTGGTCCATGGTGGAGTACCCGGAGTTGTGCACGGCATGCCGGTACATGGTGCAGGACCGGACGGCGAGCATGTGCCGCATGGCCCGCGTCGTCGCTACCCGAATCGCCCTAAGCCGCCCAACAACTTAGAACGCTTGCCATTGGATGAAGCCGCTAAAAGGGTTTGTAGTAATTATGGTGTATTTTTTATGGTAATATCATTTTAAAGTAATTATTTATAAATATTGTTTAACTTTATGTCATCATCATCATTACAGACCTTCACAAATCCACTGCTGATCATAGGCCTCCCCCAAGGAATGCCACAAAGCATGGTCCTGAGCCACTGGCATCCATCGACTTCCTGCTTGTCTTACCAGGTTGTCACTCCATCTAGAAGGTTAACCAAAGTTAACTTTATTTGGTTACATATAATTTTAAACTGATAAAATTAATAATTAATAAAAGGCCCAATAGAATGTCCAATTCATGTCATGCTCAGTGAGTGTTTGCTAAAAAAATATATTTTTCATCCCTTTCAATCCATATGATAACATACATATACATCATAAACTGTCCTGCCTGTCAGTCTGGGTGAGGGTAGGCAGCGATTACAGACTTCCATTTGGCATAATTCTGAACCACCTCTCACTTCTTTCACATCGATAAATCTGTGCATAAATGTGCATCCGTTAAGGGTAATTTTAATTTGGCCCTTGTTCAATATCCCAATTCGATTAATAAATTTCTATCTCAACTTGCATAAATTTGCTTTATCACTCTTATCTCATTAATTCTTTCTGTGTCCAAACCACACTTCTTTTCTGTTCCCTTACTCAGTGGGACAGCTTTGCACCTGTCTCCCAATACTTGCTTTAGTAACAAAAATTAAATAAAGCCTGAATTCTTGGACATTTATGTAAAAATATCCCAATAACTGTTAATTTAATCCATAAAGATAAAATATAGAATAACAGATAAAGATTCAATAAATGTTTTTCATGGAATAAAAATGTATTTTTGTCAACCCCACTTTTTTTTTTTTCAAAAAAAAAAGACCAATGAATACCTATTTTTATCATAATTTCACAAAATTTCGCCAAAACGACACAAGCTCTTTAGTAAGTTTTTACAGAAAAGAAAGGTCTTAGAAATATTAATGTTCTTAATTGAGAGTTTTACTCTGCATTTTACTGTTGAGAATATTATTTTCCCCCCAAATTTAATGTGGCTTTTTTCTGTGATTGTAGATGGATGCAGATTTTTTACGCCTCCACAACACAGAAAATATAATACAATATAAATTTGCTTTGTATTCAGGAAATGGAGTCCCTCCCAACCAAAACTCCTGTATCAGTCTTACAAGAACTATTGGCTCGTCGTGGCACAGTGCCTAAATATGAGCTGGTACAAATTGAGGGCATGATTCATGAACCAACATTCCGTTACAGAGTCACTGTTGCAGACTTAGTAGGTAAGAAATTTTTGCTTTTTCAATACTACATCCAAATTGATACGAGATATAGATTCAATGTCTCAACTTTCAAGACTCATCCATCAGCACTTTAATCACATTGCATAAGTTTCCCCAGATTGGGAAAGTTAAAGCTGGTTAAATTTACACAATTTAATGAATTATAAATGTATAATAATAATAATAACATTTTTAATGCATTCTTAAGATTAAGTACACATGATAAACAATAAAAACCAAACTAAGCTTATAATTATATGTAAGTATTCTTACAATTATTATGAAGTTACTGATATCTAAGCTAATCAGAGCCTGTATTTTAGATGTTAGGGGTGTGTGTGTGATTTATTTGTATGTGACATTATAATTATGACATACATTGATGTTATATAATATATGTTATATCTATATCTTTTACATACATAACAATATTTTATAATTATTCTGGGAATAGAAATTGCAATGAAATTTTTTATTCATTACATAAAAAAATTAAGATATATAAACTAATGTTTACAGCAATGGGAACAGGCCGCTCTAAGAAAGAAGCAAAACACTCTGCAGCCAAGGCTTTGCTTGATAGGTTGACTGGTGCGGCTCCCGTTGATCAATCTGCTAATGGCAATGTGCCTGAAACGTGAGTTGAACAAATCTTATTCACTTCGTTTTAATAGTAATTGAAATCTCCAGTGAAAATTAATTTTTACTATTATTCAATAAAACTTCATTCTATGTTTTTTTTTTATTGTTAAACTCATTTTAGTAAGCTTTGTTTATTAATTTTTAAGGGGGACAGTAGTGTCACTGTTTGAAGATAAGCTTATGGGCAACCCTGTGGGTTGGCTACAAGAATTATGCATGTCTCGCTTTTGGCCTCCACCTTCCTATCATGCAGAAAATGATGATAATGTGAATAGACGTAAGTAACATTTATGTGTATTACTTTACTGTTGAAACTCAAATGCAAGTAAACTGTTAGTAATTAAAGAATAACTATTAAAGAAATCTCATCTAAAAACTTAGTTTTACCAGGCCTGTCTCACTCCGCGCTTTAGGCATGAAAATATACCTACGCTGCGCGGCCTTCATGAGGTTAATTCCGTGAAGTTGTCACGCACACGGAAGAGCTGGACGCGCGCCTTACGTTAACATAAAAATTATTTTTCTCTAATAAGTATTTAGGCACTTTTGATATAATTTATTTTTGAGTTTTTATTCAAGTATGGCCTCTCAAAAAGCCAAAAGGTACGACTTTACATTCTTTTCTGTTCCTAAGGATACCGAAAGGTAATATATTTATAGGTAGATCTAGATAATATTATTATTTATAGGTAGATCTAGATAATTAGGTACTTAGTTACTGAAGCCATAGTTACAGATTTATTATTTCATTAGTGACCCGACCACAGCTTTGCAGTTATCGAGTTTCTTTTTTTTAATATAGGATAAGGGTGACAAACGAGCACACAGTCCACCTGATGGTAAGTGGTTGCTGTGGCCCATGGACATCTACATTTATCCTCGATTACGAATCGAAATGCAGATGTGTTATCACCCGTGAGGACTAAGATGGAATGCCTCGTTTCCAGTAGAAAGGGTCTCCAGTTCTCTACACTCACCATACGAAACACAGCAGCATTAAGCTGCTATTTTACGCTGGTATTCTGTGAGAGCGTGGTTCTTCCCCGGTCGAGCTGACCCATTCGTGTTACAACTGTATCAGAAATATAGCTGCAGCATGACTCTACCACATATAAAAAAGTTTTTCACGTATAATGCCAATGACCTTAAAAAAACATTCAGTGTAAGTAGACCTCCCAGTACTAGTGACTGCCTTCTAATGCAAGATCAGCATATAATGGTTAATAGTTTAATACTTGGTCGATAAAAGAAAGATTGAAAGGAGCGGCACTTCTCGATGCCACTCTTTCATTAATAATGAAGTCGCGTGTCGCATGTTTGTAAATGGCAAAAAATGTGAAACAGACAAGTGGCGGCTCCGTGGCGCAAGTGGGTTAGTAATGAGTTGCAGCGCTAAATGCCGCGGGTTCGAATCTCGGACGGAACTATTATTTGTATACCCTACAAATAATTGTTCTGGGTCTGTTCTATGTATGTAAACTGTCCCTGCGATACAGGAGAAAATCCTAGTGTGGAGGTAAGGTTCTTAAAAAGAGAGGAAGAGAGACAAATAATGAAATTAAAAATTTTGTTCCACCGACTTCAATACTAATACGCATTATTCAGAAGCTCATTTCATTCCGTCCTCCATGGTGGCACTACACCGGAGGCGTGGAGCAGAAGTGCGGTGGTCTTATTCTTCAAGAAAGTTGACAACGCTCTCTTGAAGAACTACAGACGGATTTCCCTTCTGAGCCGCGTCTATGTGCTGTTTTCGAGAGTCATTACGAATCGTCTCTCGCGCAGACTTGACGACTTCCAGCCTCCCGAACAAGCCGGTTTCCGAAAAGGCTTTAGCACCATAGACCACATACATACTCTTCGGCAAATTTTACAGAAGTCCGAGGAGTACAATTTGCCACTATGTCTGGCTTATGTGGACTATGAGAAAGCCTTTGAGTCCGTCGAAATTTGGGCGGTGCTGCAGTCCCGTCAGCGATGCCAAATTGACTGTCGATATATCGAAGTGCTGAAGTGCTTGTACAGTAGAGCTACGATGGCTATCCGAGTACAGAACCAGAGTACGAAATCTATCCAATTGCAGACAGGTGTAACACAGGCTGACGTGATATCCCCGAAACTCTTCACTGCTACATTGGAAGACGTTTTCAAGCTTCTGGATTGGAAAGGATACGGCATTAACATCAATGGCGAGTACATCACTCACCTTCGATTTGCCGACGATATAGTTCTTATGGCAGAATCGCTGGAGGACCTAAGCACTATGCTCAATGACCTCAATAGTGTTTCCCAACGGATAGGTCTTAAGATGAACATGGACAAAACAAAGATCATGTTTAATGTCCATGTCACACCTATGCCGGTAGATGTTGGGGACGCTAAGCTCGAAGTTGTTGACGAGTATGTTTACCTGGGACAAATAGTCCGACTAGGTAAGTCCAACTTCGTCTAACTTCAATCGGCGGATTGAACTCGGTTGGGCAGCGTTCGGGAAATTAAGGCACATCTTCTCGTCAGATATACCTCAAAACTTGAAAACTAGACTGTACAACCAGTGCGTGTTGCCAGTGATGACCTATGGTCCTTCACTGCTGGCCGGATGAGGAAGCTCAAGGTCGCTCAGCGAGCTATGGAGAGGGCTATGCTCGGGGTATCTCTGCGTGATAAACTTAGAAATGAGGATATCCGCAGTAGAACCAGAGTGACCGACATAGCCTAACGGATTAGTAAGCTGAAGTGGCAATGGGCCGGCCATATAGCTCGAAGAACCGACGACCGTTGGGGAAAAAAGGTTCCCGAGTGGCGGCCTCGTACCGGCGGAAGAAGTTTAGGGCGTCCCCCCACTAGATGGAGTGACAACCTGGTAAGATATGCAGGAAGTCGATGGATGCATTATTAAGGATAATTCCAAAAACTACTGGTCAGATCTTGATCAAATTTATATGGGATGCTTATATTTTTTAGCACCAGCTTTCAAATAAAAATAGAATCATCAAAATCGATTCATGTAGAAAAAAGTTCTGAGGTAACATAAAAAAACAGTCGAATTGAATACCTTATCCTTTTTTTTTTGAAGTCGGTTAAAATTGTAAGTAGGTAAATTATCTGAGTTTCAAAGACGTTCACGATGTTATAATCTTAATTTTCCTCGATGTTGCATATTAACATTCCTCACATTGAACAATAAAGTTTTTACTATTAGCAAATTGATGGCTCCGTGGCGCAGTGACTTAGCAATGAGTTGCAACGCTTGGGGCGCGGGTTCGAATCCCACATAGAAGAAGTATTTGTATGGCCTACAAATAATTGTTCCGGGTCTCTAGATGTTTGTTAATTGCCTCCACGATACAGGAGAAAATCCTAGTGTGGGGTAACGTTTTTTTTAACAAAACACAAAAATACTAATACATTGCATAACACCTCGGTGTATTCTACTATATACCAATTAATATCAAAGGATTAAATTTGTTTTCTCACAACACCTAACCCTACAGTAGAAGCAGTCTTAACAAAGCAGCGTAACGGGCTAAGTGATACAGACACTCGCACGCGGACGTAAGGTGCATTTTGATTTAATACGCGTGCCACATGTTGTTGTTCATGTGATGTTCTTGTCGCTCCATATAAATATTATGTAACAAATGGATTAAAATAAAAATTAGAAATTAGATTACACTGCAAGTAAAAGGGCCAAAAATCATAACATTTTAATTTAATTTTATTGATTGATTATGGCATAGTAAAAATAACATCACTAGGCGAAAGTGAAATATGTATTTCGTGGAACCATTTAATATATTATTTATTCACAGGTCTACCTCATGAGCGCCAATTCACGATTGTTTGCACGTTGCTGAAACGCCGCGAAGTGGGTACTGGCAAGTCGAAGAAACTTGCAAAACGGCAAGCTGCATACAAGATGTGGCAAGCACTAAAGGATAACCCACCCGAAGCCTTCCAAAACGAGGAAGAGGTAAATTCTATCACTTATCAGTTAGATTTCTCTAATAAATCAGACTATAAATGGTTGGTGGATTTTGCTGAAAAGCATTTTAAGGTTTATTTTTTTTTCACTAAGGCATCTTATATACTTATCATGGCCTTGGCAACTGTTACACAGTGGTTAGAGAACAATAGACAATGGTAGGTTGTGTGGGTGACCTTACATTAATGCAATGTAATGATAATTTTACCTCTTCCCCCCTCCGACACCAGAATTTTTTCTATTAAAATGATTTTTTTAAATACATAAATTGCACATGGACAAACATCCCATCTAATTTTCAACCAAGCCAGCAACTTTTGTATAATTAATTGTTATAATCTTAGTTCATTTGTATCTCTAAATTGTTAACTGAATAAAACTATAATAATAATAGGTAGGAATTTTGTAATGTAGGATATTTGTAATACCCTTAATTGAGTTACATAATGCATGTTGTGCATTGTGAGTACTGAGGACTAATATGAATTAGTTTATAAGTTGAAGCGGTTCTCTGATTCTCGCCATGTACTGGTATTCTGTGTGTGTGGTCTGTTCAAGCCAATCCATTCATGCTGCAGCACATGACTACCTAAATTAAATAAACACCCACTTGTCTAGTCTTCCTGATGATACACCATAAAAATATCAGGCAATTGTATCTTATTTGAGTTTTACAATGGGTGAGCTTATTGCTGAAAGCAAGCTCTCTTAGGCAACCTTAACAATAACTAAAAATCATCCCTTTGGGGTATTATACATAATGGATTCACTTTTTACAATGTGTACTGTACAATGTCAGGTTAAAATGTACTATGTGCTTGGCACTTAAAATTGCAATTCATTATTTTATATGTGTCAATTGGGATTCAAATCTGGTTCCTAGTTTACCATAAATTTTATATACTATACATATTATATAGAGAATATTATTAGATATATTAAATCTTCACATTCCTAGTTCAAAACTGGTTATTTTGAATTGTTGCACATAATATGCCCAAAGCAAAATTTTTATAAAAATATGTATTTAAAATTTAATTTGCATTATAATGAAATATATGTAGTTGCAATAATTTAATTCAAAAGAGACAATTTGTCGCTAATAAATGTGTATTTATTCTGTTTTCCAAAGGACATTCCTCATGTATTTTTGTATGAAGACTTGAGTATCGTGGCTAGTATATTTTGCAAATTAAAACAAAGTCAATGTGAGGTTAGCGGTTCTTTTATAACATTCTCTAGGAAGGTTGATAGCACTTGGCCAGGTATTTTACTATCTTTCGGTCGGCTATTACAAGTTTGGATGGAACACAAGGGTCACATTAATAAATCGGGTATATTCTTAATAATTCGTGTTGTGTTTTAGGGCGGAGTTGCGGCCCGATATGCCGATTTGAAAGATAGTAAAATCTCCACACTCACTACAAGCCACAGCCACAAGGTGTCGCAGTTTCACAAACATCTCAAACAATCAGTGGGCCCTAACCTGGCCAAGTTGCAGGTATGGTAAATTGGAATTTAATCACATATATTTTTCACATTGATATCAAATTACACAGTATAAAACATGTTTTACACATTACTTCAAAATCTTAGAATAAGTGCAATTTTTTATTTATTTATTATTCACAGGTAACTCCACTGAACAATAAGGACTTTAACTTTGTCCAGTTTCTACAAGAGATAGCCTCGGAACAGTCCTTTGAAGTAACTTATGTGGATATTGAAGAGAAATCTATGACGGGACGCTGCCAGTGTCTTGTACAGTTGTCTACATTGCCTGTGGCCGTTTGCTATGGATCTGGTTCCACAAGCAAGGATGCCCAGTCTTCGGCTGCTCAAAACGCACTAGAGTATCTAAAAATTATGACAAAGAAGTGAAACATCTCCTTCCCGCGACATCAGTATTCATGCTTAGTGGCAAGCTAGGCTATTGATCGTGATTCCATTCCAGTCCCAGTGCATGATTTCAGTGTTAGTTTTAAAAATAAGTTTGCCATGTGCAGAATACATTGAGCAAAAGCGTAGAGTGCCACTGTAATGGATTGTAATTGATGTCGCCAGGTTTGAGTCTAATGTAACTTCATTACCACTTCCTATTTGAATTTGGCTGTATGCCAACATGCTGGCATCACTTCGGGCTATGCTATATAACTGGCATATTTGCAGTGTACTGACAATGAGATATGTCAATGAAATATATACCTGACAGGCGTATATTGGAAACATTTAATTATAATAGTGCTTGTGGCGATTTATATTGCAATAAGCATTTTCATATTTATGATAAGCTTTGGTGATTTTAATCAGTGGAGGCCGACAATACTACAGCATGCTCTGTTTAAATATTAGCAATGATGTGGAATCCAAAGCAAGTTTTATTTTAGTAAACTTTTATTGGATTTTATTGAGTATTCTCTACTCGCGTCGAATACGAGTCAAAGTATTTTTTATTTATACCAGTAGCTAAATAAACTCGCTTGGCCGCTTGACTTACATTTTGCAGGGTTTGCAAAATGCTTGTGTACATTTCACGACTCAAAATTATATTTCCATCTGGTCTTGAGGAAATGTTTGCTGTTCCTCTCAAAGTATTTGTCTTCATTGCAGACAATCTTCCGAACTCTCCCATAAAAAGCAGCGCCTCGTTTACTAATTTTGAAGCAGTCAGTGAGATAACAAATAACAAAAACAGATAACAACAAATTTAACAATCAGAATTATCAAAACGAAGCACATTGACATCGACAAGATGGCGTCCTCTTTGTTTTTTTTTTTTGGTGAAACGTTGCTGACAATGAAAATAGAAAAGAAAATCAGTTTTAAATTACTTTTAAAACTAATTATGACTTAAAAGATTCATAGTACAAAGACAAGCCTCTGTCACTCTTGCTACCTGCGTGAAATAATTATCTACAATTTCGAGGTGTCCCGTCTACATAGGCAGTTGGAGCTAGCGCGTTCTAGGCGATTGAACGTTAAATTTTCTTAATGCTGTTTACGTAAATAGTTTTTTTTTTGTAAATACCTGTAGAAATGGCGAAACAATATTAAGTAATTAAACTACAGAAGTAAGTAGAATGATCATATTGCTGTTAGGAATCGTATTTCGGGTTTATATATTGTTTCCACTACCTACCTTTTCTTCTGAGGCAGGCATCGCGATTCACGACGAATGGCCTTGCAAGTTGCGTCCGTTGGGCATCACAGAACTCGCATAGTAGCGAAAATGTGGTCAGGCGATCATAGTCAGAATAGGTACCTTATCTAACTAACCATTTCGCAATATATTTTTTTTTTACTCTTTATTGACAGCCCTTAGTAACCACGGAAAATCTGTCGTGACGTAGGAAGGGGAGAAGATGCAAAATAATACGGACACTGGCGCGCAGCGACATAGATTTATTTGGCTTGCGTGTGCGATTTATCTAATTAATAATAAAATTAATAATGTACACGCCCCTAGTTGCCCCTTTGTAGGGGCAACTCGATTGTCCCGGGGCCCATCAGCGGAAGTCGCGACGGACAACCAACGGAGGGGCCCAATGGCCTATGGATAAATGTTCAAAAACGGCTGACAAATAAGCAAGCACTTGACCACAGGGTACCAGTCAGGTGATAAGTGAGATGTATGTAAAGTGGTGTGCGAAAGTGTATATACATGTAACCTGACGGTCCGATGTAATCGGAGAGAAGATCCACAGGCGCTGCTGCTCCAAATGTGCGCTCCCTCCAGTCGTAGTTCACCAATTGAAAACTACTTCTTTTCACTATTTCAGTTTATCAACTTTATTGTACATTTAATTAACTTCAAAGTCAACCAACGCAACGTTCATCGAAATTAAACCAAGTGGCACACGACACAAGTAACGAACAGTAGGTCAAAGTTCCCGGTTCACTCAGCACAGGATTACAAAAACGGGAACGAACGCGGTCTCTTCTTGAGTCACAAAGTTCAGTGTTCTCCCGAACAAGCCAAATTCTTTCGTACGATATAAAATGCCACAAAGCAACTAGTCGAATCAAATTAACGTCAATCAAAGTTAAGTTAATAATTCAAACCCAATACAAGCCTCCCGTCACGAAACGTACAATTCAGACAAATCAATTCGAGGCGGTCTACACGAGACCCAATTCAATAGTAAATTAGGCGCGCACAATTTACTCAAATTCTAGACCGTCAAAAAATCTAAACCGGCCACGCAACCAACCCAGCGGTCGCTAAAACATACTATACCATGGCCCGCGCGTCGAGCTACTGTCGTGGCGTTCGACGCCTCGGCAAAACCAGTCCCGTTAATCGCCACATCAGGTGACCGGGCGTGTTACTATGGACGCGAGCGCTCGTAATGCAGTTTTAAAAATTAACATTTAGCGCAAACAATAATAGCCTACCTAAGACTGTTATACCGTCGGCAAGCAGTCAACATCAAAGGGGTGCAACTTTTGTACGTAGTATTATTATTTATTCTGTGCTAAGACTCAGATATATAAAGGCGGGAAATTAATTTTCTTTGCTAACCTTACTTTTCAAGTGACAATTGACAAATCGTGGTCATTCGAGGTCATTGACGTTTCTATTCTTATTTGAATCGCATTGTAGAAAAGATATTGATTTTTGAAATTTGATTACCTATCACTCTTTTTACATTTCACGGTATTGCAGTTTGCAAAACTAATTAAAATAAGATTCGAGTAATACCACAAGCGTTCAATAACATTCCTCTGCATTCTGCGGGCAACTCAACACCTTAACACCTTTCGAATTAACCAGTCCTGCGCTGTGCGCCCTACACATGTTGAAGAAATGAGTTGGCGCAGCGCATTGACACATTATGTCTAATTCATTGCTCATCTTCTCATACTTAGAGAAAATCAGCAAAGGGGGAATTAAAAAAAATTACAGAATTGACGCTAAATAAGTGAATTTTAAGATTTATATAAAAAAATTACAAGTCTTAGGAGGTTACTTAAGGTTAAAAACAAGCCCTGAAACCTATAGAGAGACTATTATTATTGTGTATTTGGATCATTAAATAATTACACCATGTGCTTTAATAATACGTTCTTGCCGCACGTGATTACCTGAAGGTTTATTCTACACGTTGGTGTTACTTAACTATTTGTTGCCAAAAAAGTCCAGAAGATCATCGCACGGACTTATTCTTATGGGTTTCTATTTCCCTTGTTAGTTAAAACTTAAGTAGAAAAATAATAAACAACAAATAAGCAAGGCAATATAAATCGATAAAATCAGGAAACACCTAATAAATTACACAACATTGACAACATTTTGCGTAAAAAATCTTGTGGTTGTTTTTGCTGACTGTACATCTAGCCTCCTTCCGATTTTGTTACATAGGCAGGCATTAGCGGCTTAAAATTAGTAAAAGCTTCGGTGTTTGCGGTTTTACTTGTGCCACCATTAGTTTCTGTGCAGTTTATACCTTTCCGATTATTCGGAAGACTTCGCCGTGGTAACGGCCTGGAGACTACCATCAAAACAAAAGTGAAATCGATATTCGCCTTTTAACATTTCCCTGAAGGCTACCTAGCACAAACTTCGGGAAATAATGGCATATCTTTTGAAGGTATAACTAGTAACACTTCACTATTTCAGCACTATTATAATTGTTTTGTGATAACGCCTCAATAATTACTAATTCAATTTTTTTTTTGTACTGGTCATTGCCAATGTGCGAGTGAATAGCATAGCCCGTAAACTTCAAGAAACAAAGTATGGAGTGGTCGTATAACAAAATACAAGCTATACTTTGCATAGAATTAGTGTAATTTTCCCAGCGTGGAAATTACTCAATAAATAATAAAAATGTAAAAAAAAATATAAAATATTTAAAAATGAATAAAAAAAATATGTGTGGATTATTTCCAGTTTAATATTCAGCATTAATTAGCATGTTTTGCATTCATAATTAAACTAAATTATTATCTACTTATCCAAATTTTAAATCTTAGCTTTTAATGTATATTTATAATGATGGAATAGCCAATCGTATTTTAGTTGAACAGTCACTTTCTTATAATACTTTTGTTTAGTCTGGTGTGTTAAGGATTTTCTAACATGCTGAGCATTAAACGGAAACAAAATTCTCAGCTGATTTAGTCTTGTTGACGAACTGCCCGACCTTTGCTTTGTAACGAGCTCAGTGTTGTAGTCAAATTTACAAAGTGCAAGGGTTGGAACTTGCAGGTGACAAAAGTAGCACTTGCGGAGTGGCAGGGTTGTAAATTGTTTCATTTGGATTAAAGCCAGTGAATACATGGTTTTCTTTTGAATACATGATGGAAAACTTTGCAGGGAAGCTGAGAACTACGCGTTAGAATGGAATATATTACTGGAATTAATGGTTGCGAAGTTAGGATCCCTTGCCTGTGAAAATGGGCATTATTTTAATGCAAAGTATAGAGGTTGTAACATTTTCTACCTGTACAGTATCGTCGTCTTGCTGTCGCTCGCCCGCAATGACGAGGGTCCTGCACGCACCCAGTTTCTTTTAAATTGAATGGTGTGAGTTCAGCCTGCCCTTGTAAAACATCGCACTGTTCAAGTTAGAAAAGACTAATTGGAGTAAAGGAATGGAGTTCTGTTCAACCAAGACCAACTAAATAAAATTATAATGTCCGACCATCGAGACATCGTAGCTCACATATTATGTTTATGTTTAGTCAGTCTTGGTTTTACTTAAATATATTATAAGAAATACGTCGTCGTAGTTGACACTTTCAATATCGCTTTTTGCTAGTTGTATATTTATATTATTTAAAATGTAATAATAAAAGTTTTTGCTCGCATTATTTGTTTTCGCTCTTGCATAATAAAGTTTGGTGTTGCTTGAAAAATGATTTTTAATTATTATTTTCTTTACTTCTTGTTTTATGAGCCAAATGATCCAAACCATTTTTAATGACTTCAAGACGAGAGTGAATAGGTTTTTGTAAAAAGTCCTGGCATTGATATATTATGTTCCTCTACTCTATGGAGGGATGCTACAAGTACATAAAGCGCCTACATTATACTTCACTGTCCTACTTTTCTTGTTGTCACGGACATAATTTAATCAATGAGTAGTGATAAATCTTCCCTCACCATTCGTTAGTTGAGACACTTAATTATATTTGTAGTTTGGTTTATTCATTTCTGATCTAATATAAAATATGATTAATATTTTAGAAAGAAACATTTAAACTAAATTAAAACCTTCACAACAAAGACAATATAATCACTACGTTTACCTCACATTTTTGTAAAAAAAATATTTCTCCGTGAAATCTATCAAATGTTTTGCCTCGTTCCTAAGTGGCGCCGCCTTATTGCAGAAAAAGTGGATAGCATCCATGTGCATTGATACGCTGAGTTACATACTGAGTACTTAGTTGAATCTTCCGGGAGACACGTACGTCATTGTCTGATCATGACCACACATAGCAACATTAAGCTAAGACCACAGATGCATGTTCATTACTAGAGACTACTATAACACCTCACGGACCCTGTCCACGGCCTGTAATTATATTTGCTCTATAATTACCCTTCCAAACAGAACATTGCATTGAATGAACAGAAACAGGCAATAGAGTAGTACCAAGCCAAACGCTCTCCTCGACAGAAAAGGAGCCCGTGCCACCTCTTATTCAAATAAAGTCATTATTTAAGTCTACCACCGATCTTATTGCACAGAGTTACCAGCACGTCTTGGTAGTCACAGTTATCTTCTGTTAAGAATCAATACGCAGATGCGTTGTCATCCCTGAGGAATAAGATGGAATGCCTCGTATCCAGTAAAAAGGAGTCTTCGGTTCTCTACACTCACCACACGAAACAGCAGTTAATGCTGCTAATTTACGCTGGTATTCTATGAGAGCGTGGTCCTTCTCCGGTCGAGCCATTCGAGCTACAACCATATTATAGCTGCAGCATGGCTCTACCCCGTTGACGTTACGATCGCCAATGTACATTATTTAGATATGATCGCCAATACCTAACAAAAGTAGCGATTAAATCAAATCCTTCAAATAATAAGAGTTCTATTTTCAGTTAAGTTAACGGGCTGAAGAAGATAATTTAATGTAGGTAAATACGTTATGTCACATTTTAATTGAACCTTTAAACAAATAACTTTTACCGATCAAATCGCTTTTAATTTAAATGAATTTATTTAATCGAAGTATTTACCTCCATCATCTATAGTTAGGAAGATAATTTACCTATATATTAATTTAATTTTTAATTTATGGTATAACAACCTGTAATTCCCAGAATAGTACCGTCATCTACATCCGACCTCAATAATCTTTCAGCACCTAATTAGCACTTAATATTTAGGCACTGATAAAGAACAAAAAATGTCGTTCATACCTTATGGTAAGGTAATGGTGGTCGTGGACCCTATAATTCCCAGAATAATATCTTAATCTGCATCGGGCCTCGATAATCTCAGCACTTAATTCCTTGCTATTAATATAATTTATTAAGTGGCGAAGCTTGCGAAGTCACTTATTGATTTCACGATGTCTGTCCGTCTGTCCCACGATTATCTCGAGAACGGTTTCGAATTTTAAATTCTGTTTTCAGCAATCGATTACTGATCACCCATGCATCTGAAATTTTGAAACTGATTGCTCAACGGCAACCGTTAGAAACCGCTACAAAGCTGATTGCTTCGTCACTGCTATGCTGTTAGCTTGCTAGGTTTATTATATCTGATAACGTCACTGCGTTGCTAGCGATACGCTTTGCCAGAAAAGCAAATTTCAAAAGTTCGTTGCGGTGAAAATTTTAGAGCACCTAATTTTTAAAATTGGCACCTAATTAGCACCTAAACAGCCCCTAATTTAGACTTTTTCTAAATGCATGCATATATACATACATACATACCGAGAATTTGTGCTGCCATTCTGGTATTTAGAGGAGGTATTTAGGCGCACTGGGAAGATCAGATTGTATCAATAAGTTAATTGAGTTGAGCATGTCCTGAGGTGAAGTGGCTCCGCGGAGTTTGCAAGCCAAGGAGGACAACTCAGCACCGTTAATGTTGCTGATAAAGCCGCAGACTAGCGAGAAGTCAGCGGCAGAGAAGGACGCGCCTTGTGGGACAGGCTTCGGTTTAGGGGCTTGGGGAGGGGACACTGGCAGTGAGGCGACTAGTGCCGGTGTTTTCATCCAAGCGTTTGGTTTTGGCGCGGAAGGCGCGGGAAGGCTATCACCTTGCTCGTCCGCCCCGACAACTGGGGCGGGCTTGGTGGCGACTTGAGGCGAGGGTGTGGGCACCGAAGACGGTGCGGGTTTGGAAGCAGGCAGCCGAGAGCGAGACACACTGGCCTGTCACCCAGAGGGGTAGGCAGAGACGAGACTACGGACTTCCATTTGGCACGATCCTGACAGACCTCTCTCGCCTCCTTTACATCCATATATCTACGCATACACGCTTATCGGTTAAGAGTACTCCTAATCTGGCCCATTTTCAATATATTGCCAATTTGGTCGATCAACCTTAGACTAGGGCGTCCCTTCCCGACTGCTCTTCACTTCTGAAACATAAATTAGCTTTGTCACTCTTTCCTCGTTCATCCTTTCTACATGACCAAACCACCGAAGCATTCCTTTCTTAATCCTGGTCACAACGTCATCTTGCAAACCACACTTTTCACTTACCACACTATTTTATGAGATGTTAAAAATTAATTTAAAAAAATTCTAAATGTAATTTTGATTATATTCTGATTTTCAGAAAACTTGATATTCGCTTTGTTCTGAATAACGACATTATTTTTATTTAGGGGCGCCTTGTCATTGCCCATAATTGAAGCACTTAATTCCTTGCTATTAATATTTATCGTATATCTAATAACGTCACTGAGTTGCTAGTTATACGTTTTGTCAGTAACGCAAATTTCAACCGTTCGTTGCGGTGAAAATTTTAGAGCATCTATTTTTTAAACTTGGCACCTAATTAGCACTTAAAAAGCCGTAAATATTGGCTTTTGCTAAATGCAAATTCCTAACTGCGTTGCAGTACAATTTTATACAGCTTTGTGGGAGCCAATATATTTTGCATTGCAGAAAATTATTATTTTATTATTGTCTAATGGGCCAGCAGTTGCAACAACTGATATAAGCCTGTATCCTAATTCCAAATGTGTAATTGTTCTATTTTAGTTGTTTATCCAATCTGTTCTTTAATTGGTTAATAGTTTGTGCAAATATCACTTCTGATGGCAGCTTGTTCCATGCTTCAACCTTTTTGGCTAAAAAAGTGCTTGTGTGGATTATTATGTGACACGGCTTTAGTTAATTTGAGGTGATGCCCCCTATGATGTGTGTTTTTGAGTACTGGAATAATAGTTGTCGAAATTTTCTAGATCGTAGTGTCCATGTGTATAATTTTATATGTTTCGATCAAGTCTCCGCGTTCTCTGCGATCTTTCAAAACTGTCCAAATTGCGAAAAAATTGTAATCGATTGGGGCTACATATACGTACGAAAAAATTATAATCGATTGGGGGCGACTACGGAGAATGACGTATGGTTTCTAACTGCGGGTCTTGTAATGTTAAAACGGTGTATCGAGCAGTGTGAAGTTTTGCGTTATTATTTATTATGGAGCAATAATGGCGAAAATTGATTGACTAGTTGGGGTTGCTTGTCTAAAGCCGGCTATACATGTTGGCCGAGCGAAGGCGAGCACCAACGTATAGACAGCCCATTTTGTTTAGCCTCGCCATTGCTCGTCGACGCTCGCCTAGCTGCAGGGCCGGATTAACCTTTAGGTAGAGTAGGCAACTGCCTAGGGGCCCCGCATCGGGTAGCCCCGTGCGCACACAAATATAATGGAAAATGTTTCATACAGAGAAAATTTTATTGGAAAATTTGTAACCTCAGTGACAATAGGTATTATTACGTTTTAGCGACGCATACTGTCAGTTGATGAAATACTTCATACTTACAGAACAAAACTATCTAATATCAAGTAGTAGAACTAATAATATGGACACGTTACATCCCTTTATGCTGGCTGCAAAAGGGCTCCGAGAATTCCATTGCCTAAGGGCCCCGACATGGTTAATCCGGCCCTGCCTAGCTGGCCGAGTACAGGCGAGCGCCAACGTGTATACGGTTCGTTTGGGGTGCCTTGCCTCAGGGTCGCTCGCTACGACTCGTCCACTTCGGAACAGTGTCGGTTTTTCTGCACAAATCAAATGTGCTCGCCTGCACTCGGCAAGTCGCGTCCACCACATGTTAGTCGGCCATGTCTGTTACAGCTTGGCAACTTGGCGTCCGTCCCGGTGAGATGTTATGTTTTAATTAAGCCTCACGCCTGTCACCCAGAGGGGTAGGCAGAGAGTATGGACTTCCATTTGACACGATCCTGACACACCTCTCTCGCTTCTTCCACATCCATAAATCCATATGCATACACACTCGTCGGTTAAAGGTACTCTTGATTTGGCCCTTTTTCAATATAATATATATAGTATATTGAAAACTTCAAAATAATTTCGAAAATGTCACTGCTTCTTCTTTTTTACAACTTTACTGCGGAGTACACTGACATGATAATTATATGCACCCATTAAATAAATAGCATAAGCTGCAATAACTTCTACGCATTGAGTTGTATGTACTACGCAGAATACCAGCGTAAAATAGCAGCTAAACACTATTGTGTTTCGTATGGTGAGTGTAGAGAACCGGATACTCTTTTTTACTGGAAAGGAGGCATTCCATCTTAGTCCTCACGGGAGACAACGCATCTGCATTTTGATTCGCAAACGAGGATGGATGTAGATGTTTATGGGCCACAGCAACCACTAACCATCAGGTGGACTGTGTGCTCG